TCTGATCTAGCTCTCTGCTATGGCCTGGGAGAGCAGTAGAAGATGGCCCAGGTCCTTGGGCCCCTGCACCCACATGCGAGACCCTGAAGAAGCTCCTGGCTTCGGATCGACGCAGCTCCGGCTGTTGTGGCCATCTGGGGAGTGAACCAGCGGGTGGAAGACCTCTTGCTCTCTGACTCTGTCAATGCTTCTCTGTAACTGTGGCTTTCAAATAAATTTAAAAAAAAAAAAAATGGAAGGAGGCCATGGAGGGAGGGAGACTGGGGCAGGAGCTGGCAGCGGCAGCAGGGTGGGAGAGGGTGTGTGCGGGGAAGCCAGGGACAGAAGGGAGCTGGGCTCCCCTGGGGCATCTGGTGGGGAGCACAGGCGCTGGAAGAGATGCAGAAGCCGGGCACCACCCCTGCCTTTCGACAAGGCTGTACTTCTCTCTGTGTCCCAGTTTGTTCTCCCCACGGGAAGACAAGGACCTGGGCATCTGTCCCAGTCCAGCCAGGGCCCTCTAGCCCCAAAGAACAAAATGCGGTCAAATGCCAAGTAGGTCTTTAGAGACAACTGGTCTACCCCGTGCTCCCTGGACTTCAGGGCCGTGAGTGCAGGAGAGAAGCAGAGGACCTGCGCTCCGGCCTGCCCGCCACACTGGCACTGGGTGTCCTGCAGTTCCCATAGTCACAGCAGCCAGTCGTCAGGGTCCCAGCCAAGGTGCGAGAGGCTGAGCTGGCCCAGGGCTCCAGAGGCCCTGTGTGGTGCTTTCTCCCCTTGCCCAGGCAGGGTTTCCACTGGTTCTGCGCCTTCCCTGCACCCTGGCATGGGTGCGTGTCAGGTCCCCGGAAAGAGAGGGAGAAGGAGTCAACCCCTGTGTTAACCCAGGGCTGGACTCGGCCAACATCAACACACACCCACGTGCACCCTCTGCAACTGCAGGTCATGCAAGCTGTGGCCTGGGAGGGGCGGGGAGGGAACACACCCACCCTGGGGGAGGACAGGCCCCTCCTGCCCTACTGACGGCCCGGAGCTGGTATAAAAGGGCCCCGCGGTCAGAGCGGCTGTCCCTGCACCATGAAGCCTGCTGCTTGCCTGGCACTGCTCGGCTCTGCCTGGCTCCTGATCTCTCTTGCCAGTGGGTGCCAGCCACGGGCGCCTGGGCTGGGGGTGCTCTGGGGGCAGGGGCCAGCTTTCCAGGGCAGTGCTGGCTCCCAGGGCGGATGAAGGGGCGCACCTGCTGTGACCCATGCCTTCTGTTTCTCTTCAGGTTGTGACATCTGCCCAGCTGTGCAGACAGCTGTTTATGAATTTCTGTCAGGACCCTCCGATGAGTATATTTCCTATGTGCAAAATTACCAAAGTGACCCACTAGTGCTGCAAAACGCCCTGGCGCTGAAGCAGTGCGTTGATGGGAAACTGACAGAGGAGGATAAGGGGCATGCGATCAGTGCCGTGGTGAGTCCAGCCGGGCCTGGCCCGACACCGGCTCCTTCCGGGGCCCTGGGGAGGGGCACTGTTTGTGCCCACCACAGCCGGGCCTGGGAATCTGTGGGAAAAACCTCCGGATGAGGACGCAGAGTTGTGGGCCGCCCCCCGCGGTGCGAGAAAGGACAGGGAGGGCGACTGCTTGGACCCGGAGCCCTGGGCTCCATGGCTGTTCAGCTCCCCCATGCAGGCCCGAGACCCTCCAGGGCCGCTGTCCCCACGGCAGCCCCGCTTGTGTCAGACCTCAGCTCTGGCCTCCCTGACCACAACCTGTCCAGCGCCCGAGCCCGAATCTTCTTCAAGATGTTGCCTTGGGTGCTGCCTGCCTTCGAATCTCACTTCCTCACCCTGACCCCTCGGGTGCCCTCCTCCACCCCCAGACCTCATGTTTCCTTCTCCCTGGACCCCTAAGGGCCATCTGGGGCTCCCGAGCCTGGAACCAGGCCTCCAACAGCCCTTCCTGTCCTCCCGGGCCTGGCGACACCTGGGGAAGAGCAGAGGGAACCCTGACTACAGGTGCAGCGTGGGCGGGGATGGGCACTAGGTTGAAAGCTTGCGAGAGATAGACAGGGCCAGGGGACTGGGGTCAGTGCATTCCTGAAGGCCCCTAGTGCCCCTGCCGCCTTGCCAGGCCTTCCGTGTAGCCCCTGCCTGTCCCAGCCTCACCTGCACCCCCCACAGAGAACCTCCTCCTCATTCCTCATCAAGGAGGGATTTTTACGAGAGATTCTCAGGCACCCGGGTGCAGGAGAGGATCTGCCTTTAGCTGCCCAGATCCAGTGCCAGGCTACAGCTCCTCCCCAGGAAGCTGCCCTGTGCCTGTGCCCTGCAGGTGTCTCTAGGCCCCGGCCTCACCAGGTGTCCCGACTTCTCTTTGCAGAATAAAATCTTCTCAGATCCTCTTTGTTAAGGGAGCCCTCCCGGCAAGAAGACCCAGGGCCGCCCCGCGCCTACGTGGTCAGCAGGTGCAGCCCAGGCGCTGCCGGCCTCTCATTGAAGGAGGCAACAATAAAAGCTCGCGTTGCACAGAGTCTGCTCAGTGCTGGACCGGACACTGGGCGTGGGTGTGGGAGGCGGGCGGTGCAGCGGGGCCGGCTGCCATGACTGCCAGTGGCGGCTGGATCCAGGGCTGTCCGTGTTGTTCCTGCAGGGGTGCAGTGTGGGGCGGGGTGGGTGGGGGTGCGATCTCTGTCACCGTGGCCACGATCCGCAGGACACACGCATCACAACCAGGCGTAGCCGGCAAGCCACCTTCAGAGCGGCAGTGAGTCCCAGCGTCACCGTGAGCACACTGCGGCTCAGAGCCGGGGCGCGTGCCCAACACTGCACAGCAGCTGCCACTCTGCTGCCCCGCCCTCTGCAGGGAGACCAGCTGGGCTGCTCAGTGTGTGGCCGTGCATGGTGGCAGTGGTGCCCACCTGTAGATGCATATGAGACCTCCCACCTCCAGGCCCAAGGGACATAAGGGGTGGGAAGGGTCCCTGACCGGACAAAAAGACCTAAAGGTCAGGGGGCATGAACGCCCCTGGCCATGATCCAGAAATCCTCTCTCGTGCCTCAGCTGGTCCCAGTGCCAACCCCCAACTGTGGATGGAGCTGTGACCCCACAAACACACCCCACGTGGGGTCTCCTGCACAGTGGGCCCAGGGTCTGGGTGTCTGTGGTGGCTCAGCCCTGTGGTCATGATGCTGCCGCCTATCTCAGGCCCCCCGCATGCCTGTCTGTGCCCTCTGGGCCTGGATCTGCCACCTGCCCCCTGCTCTGTCACAACTCACTGAGGGCACTCGCACAGGGCTGTCTCAGGAGGAGCATCTGTGACATCCTGGTGAGCTGCTGGGAGGCCCAGACAGGGTGGAGCGGCCGCTCCTGTCCCCGGGGTCTTGCTGGGGGGGTGGGTGGCAGGGTGGGTTGATCCTTTTCCTGTTTCTCCCACACTTGTACCTGGGCTGCCTTCACAGAGAGAATGGGTCAGGGTGGGCGATCTAGGCAGTGGTGAAGTCCCGGATTGGGGTGCCCACATCCCCAGTCAGAGGGCCTGGTTCTACTCCCAGCTCCTTGGCTGCCATTCCAGCTCCCCGCTAATGCACACTCGGGGGTTCAGGTGGCACCTGCAGGTGGTGGTCCAAGCACTGGGGTTCCATCACCCACGAGGGAGGGAGACCCAGATGCATTTCCTGCCTTTGGCCTGGCCCAGCCCTGATTCTGGGAGCCCAGCACTCACCCCTTCCCAGGGCCCCACCCCATCTCACCTAGCAACCTCCTACTCTGCCTGCCTCTTAAAGGTCCCACACCCCTCTTGGTGCCACAAACTCTGTCTAAAGCACTTACCCCAGGGGAGACCTGCTCTTTGTGCTCACTGAGCTCCCTCCACAGAAGAGCAATGGGGGACCCCTGCCTCTGCAGGAGTGAAAGGGAGCCCAGGGGACAGGAGGGCTTGGGGAGCAGAGACGCCCTCGTTACCCCACCTGTGGGACCCTGGGGCTGTGTCCCACTACACCCCATCCAACAGATGCAAATCTATGCACAGTGAGGACACAGGCGACACCAGGTGTCTCCGTCCGCTCTCTGCTGCAGTGACAGAATCCCACAGACTGGGGCGATGTCCAAGCCACACGAGCTGATTGGCTCATGGCTCTGGAGGGCATCCGTGCTGTCTGGTGAGGGCCTTCGTGCTGCATGCAACATGGTGGCCAACATCCCATGGGGGTGCAGGGAGAGGCGGGTAGAGTCAAAGATGTAGGAGAAAGAGGAAGAGAAGTAGAGGAACTTGCTTTTATTTTGAACTTTAATTTTTATTGTTTAAAAATTTATTTATATTATATTAAGGCCTTAGCCACTGGCCACTGCAGGCCTCTGGTGAGGGGAACAGTGGATGGAAGCAACCACACCCCAAGATCCACGAATTAAACATTTGTAACAACACCTTGATAGGAAACATTTGTAGCAACAACAATGGGAACTCACCCCTGTGCACCCTAAGCCACCCCAGGAGGCCAGCGTCAGTCCATGCAGGAGCTGGGTTGGGGCCCATGCACCCATGCTCCCTGCACACGGACTCTGGGGAAACAAACCTCCCCCCCAGTGAAGGAAAATGCAATGTGGAGAACACTAAGCCTAGGCATCTGGAGTTTGAACTCAGGCAGAGAAAGGAAAATGTATGGGCGTCCTCCACCCAATTAGAAACATTTGACTGCTGAAGCTGAGTGGTCCCCATTCAGCACTCGCTGTGTTATTTTACAGCACTTTGTGAATCTCCAAAAGAGTTTACAATGCAATTTAAAAGCAGAGACGCTGAGTGGGGAGGGGAATAAAAGAATCAGTTAAAACCCAAGTGTTGCTGGACAGCATCTCTGGACACTGACACAGCGGTGCACTCATTCACACTCCGCAGAGGAGGCCAGCAGGTGTGTGGGTGACCAGGGCCCTGGGCCCTGTGGTCTCCATGCCAGGGCAGGGGAAGTGGGCAGAGAGGCAGAGCAGTGGGCCCTTGAAGGGAAAAGAACCGACTGTGGCCCCAGGTGGCAGCCTAGGGGCAGTGTGGGGCCCAGGACCAAGGAGGTGCTGGGGGAGGGCTGAGCCACTTTCCCAGGGGGAGCAACCTTGCGATCAGCACCCCGGGGAGCCACGGGCCTGTGGCTACTCCTGCCTGCAGCCTGACGCGTGCTGTCCCTGTCCTGATGGTCAGCAGCAGCCCGGTGTTACCAGCATGCGGCTCAGGTGCTGGTGCCCAGGAGTTCTCAGTGCTCTGTGCCTGAAGCCCTGGCCCGTGTCCAGGACAGGGCCCTGGTTCCCGCTCTGGACAGGCTGGGCCACGCTGGCTTGAGGTGCTCAGCGGGAGGCTCCCCTGCCTCCATCCCAGAGGACCCCTGTGTCCACCTCCTACAACTCCAGGGAAGAAGGGCTGGAACAGAGCAGGAGGGGCAGCAGAGGGTGGCAGTGCTGGGGTGGGGCCTGTGGTAGGACAGGAGGCTGCACCCCCGGGAGTCTCAGTTCAGGTCATGGCAGGGGCAGCCCCGGAGTGTGGGGACAGGTCTATGTGGGGCTCCCTATGCGACCTTGTGTTCTAAGAAAGAGGCCTTCACAGTTGGGCTGTAATACAATTGCAGAGGCAGAAAGGAGGGGCAGGAGGTGCCGGTTGCCTGGGACTTGGGACCATTACGGCAGGTGGCAGAGGGCCCTGGCACCCCTGGTTCCGGGGCAGTTCTGCCAGAGCCCTGCCCTCTTCACCTGGGCCCTGGGGAGAACACAGGCCCCACTTGTGGTGACCTTTAATGAAGCCAGGCCTGAGGACCCTGAGCCCTGCCACAGCAGAGCCACTAGGGATTGGCTGGCAGGCTTCTGTGATGTCACAGTCACTGAGATGCGCACTCTGGGCTGGGAGGCGACCAGAGGCCAGTAGTGCGTCTACTGCCCAACTGACCAGTTGGTAGTGTAGGCAGCAGGCGCATTTCAGAGAATCACATGGATTCGCGATGGAAGTGAGTGGCACTTGCTCTAACGAGCTGTGGCGTGGGGAAGGTCCCGCCAGGGGGGCGGCCCTGGTCTCCCACACCGGATTCCATGGGCGATGTGGTGGAGCTCTGAGTGCTGCCCCTGTGTGCAGAGTGTGTACACAGTCGTCTCATTCCTCCCGCTCTGCTGGTCACCAGTGTTGAATGGGCCTGGGTGTGAGTCTGTGTCTGGACACGGGTTCAAGACTAGGTGTCGGGTCAGCTGGTATCAGGTGGGCAGGGAGGCCGGCTCTGAGAGCCCCAGAGATGCGGGAGCTGGGAGCAGGCCAGGGAGCCCCGTAGACTTGGGACTTGGGACTTGGGCCCCCTGGAGGACACGTGGCTGCCAGCCTGGGGGAGGAGCATCCTTTCCAAGGGCAGGGGAGGCAAGGTGGGGGCTGTCCTTCCCCAACCGTCCGTAGTCAATGAGCTCTGCACAAGTCATAATCCAAGGACCCGGCCACCAGGTGCCCGCCTGCCTGGCTGTGTGGCTGCCCCACCTCTGACCAGGGGGACAGCCCTCAAAGCAGCATTCCTGTGGGCTCCCCAGTGCTGGCTCCCATGTGCGTGTGTGTCTTACAGATTGGATATGAACGCCCTGAGGTCCCGGAGGGCCCAGGAGCGAGCAGAGCTCATCAATAAATATGAGCAGGTACTGGCCAGGGTGCTGGGGGAGGAGGTGGGGCCCTGCCTCAAGGACTGTGCCTGTGAGAGCCAGACCCCGCCTCCCTGGGGACACGGGGGAGGGGGCAGGTGGACAGCTCCCCCAGTGACTTCTCATCCGGGTCCCCTCTCGGCTGCAGGGACGCCGAGGAGCGGCACTGTTGGTGCCCGAAGAAGAGGACGATGAGGGCGGCTGCCTCGTCCCAGACAGGCTTGGGTTCCTGCAGTGAGTCCTCCACACCCCAGCTCACCCCAGGGCGGGACTGGGGTCAGAAACCCCAACATGAGGCGGCACACCTGTCCCCGGCCCCGACCTTGAGCCCAGCTGTGGTCACAGGCAGGCACTGGTCAGCATTTGGGGGCAGGAGTCGGACGTGGAGGCTGTTCCCACAGATGTCGGGGAGAGAGGCCCCGTTGCTGGAGGGTGGGCTCCGGTGACCTGGAGGGATGGAGCCATCTCGGGCCATCTCTGGCATGACTCAGCAGCCCACCTTAGCACGGGGATAAGGGCTTCTGCCTCCATGTTGTGCCAGAACCTGGAGAATAAGCAGGAGCAGAGTGGTGGAGAGATGGCCAGGGTCCGGGCTGACAGAGGAGGGGTGAGGTGGGGCACATGACCTCAGGAGGCCAGGGCACAGGGGGGAGGGTGGGCAGTGGGGGACCCTGAGGGGTGTAGGGGTCCCAGGTGCCTCGAGCCCCAGGTGCACACTCACAGCACTGAGCATCTCTCAGGCAGGTCACTCGGACTCGGTCAGTTCCAGGGTGACGTCCTGGGCAGAGCTGATGTGGGGATATAGCTGCCTCAGCCCTGGGCAGTCTGGCCCTGCTCAGGACAGCCAGCCCCCAACCGCTGTGGGGGGCTGCCACACACCCACGAAGGTGGACCTCTGACAGGCCTGGAGCCCCCCACTGGCAGCAAGGGCCCCTGCCTGGCCCTAGGCTCCCTGTGCTCATGGTCACCAGCCCCTCCCTCCCCATCTCAGTCCCCTGGGCTGAGAGGATGAAGCTGGTCCTTCCCTGGCCCACTAGGGAGGTCGCGGTGCCTGTTGTGGTCCTGTCCTCACCTCTCCGCCTCCCTTGCTTTCCAGTGAGCAGAAGCTGCCCCAAGACAGCACCCCGGGGGCAAAGGTAAGGACAAGTCCTTGGCCATGGGCCAGTCATCTGGAAGCAGAGCTGGGCAGAGGGGGCACGTGGGGCTCGGCAGTGGTGAGTGGGAGCGCCATAAGGTCCCGCGATGCGGTACTTATACGGCACCTGCTGACATCTTACCACACTCACCTGTCCCAGAAGTGAGCCGCAGCTCAGGGGTGTCTGCTGTCGGCCGCCCTGACTCATTGGCATGGTTGGGAGTGACCTGGCTGGAGCTCAGGGGCTCTCCTTGACGAAGGGGCAGCTCGGGTCAGAGGCCAGGCCACCGATGCTCCCCCAGACAGAAGATCTGGGGCTCACGGTCTGTGCCTTTTCTGGCTCCTTCCATTTGAGCGCCCACAGAGCTCCTGAGCTGCATCCGAGGGCCCCTCTCAGAGCCCCAAGCTGGGCTCACGCCATCCTGTCTCGTTTTCCAGCGTAAACAGGAGGTAAGAAGGATCCAGAAGTGGATAAAGATGATCAAGAACCATAGTAAATACCGCGGCAGTGACAAGGTACCGTGGCGATGAGGGCCCCTCGGGAACACTGAGAGCTGAATTGGGGTTTGAGCAGTGCCCATTCCTGTGCCAGGCACCGCCTGCCTCTCAGATGCCCAGGGGCAACTGTCCAGTCCCTAGAGACACAGGTCATGGGCACACCTCCCCATACACACAGGACACTGTCCTGGTAGAAAATCTGAAGTCACTGCTGAAGACAATCCCGGATGCAGGGCAGGCGTGGTTCCAGGAGCCCTGTAGCGGCCACTCCGTACACGGCAGAGCCGGTGCCCCTGAGCCCTTGGCCCTCCAGTCACTGTGGGTCATAAGGCCCCCCTCTGGGCAGATCCTCCCTCTGCCAATACACAGGGAGCCCCTGGCTTCTCCCTCTGCTGTCTCACCCTGCGCTGCCTCCACGAGTGGCCACGTTCAGCACTCACCAGAGCCTCCTCTCTCCTGTAGTTTCAGCGCAGAATCTACAAAGGCATCCCTGCCCAGGTGCGCGGGAAGGTGTGGGCCGTGATGCTGGAGGTGGACAAGAGGAAGGCCCAGAACCCGGGCAAATACGCGGTACGGCTCTGCACTCAGCCCAAGGGGGCCCGGCCTGCTCGGGCCTGCTCAGGAGCCTGAGTCTCCGTGGAGGACCGTCCCTCACTGAGCCCTCGGGAGCCTCCTCCCCATCCTGCCTTCCTCTCCCTAGATCCTAGTCAGTGCCTCCTCCACGTCTCCTCAGACCCAGCTGGGACTGGACAGGTGTGTTTTGTGCCAGAGGCTTTAACCTGCTCTCTGCTGAGCTCACCTGGGCAGCTTGGCATACGGCCAGAAGAGAGGACTTGCTGGTCCCTGATGGGCGGGGGTCTCCCAGGATGAGATCACAATGGTGTGAGGTAGGGAGCCCCACAGGCTCTGTGCTAACATGGCCTGCCCGCAGCTGGCCGGCCCTCACCTAGGCCTGCCCACAGCTGGCCCTGCCTTCACATGGACTTGCAGCCCCTGGCATTGCCCTTGCCTGGAGAGGCCGCTCCAATGGTCACACAGCTCTCAATGCTTCTGGGAAAGGAGGGAGTGAGGACTGGTGTGGGCAGAGGGCTGTCAGCTGCAGCTGGCTCTCATGGCCCCTGGCTGCCATCAGGGAGCAGGGCCCAGCTGTGTTTCCCACCCTGCCTCCCCCAAGTCTGCAGTCTGGGGCTGGCCCTGGGAGCTGGGCCTGGAGACAGTCATTGCCCAGGCTCAGCTCCAAGCTAAGGGCGGCTTGCAATGTCGAGATGGAGATGGGCCCCTCCAGCAGGGGGCAGCATGGAGCAGTGGTCAGGCTGTGGCTGACTCCTGGAGGGCAGGGCCTGAGATGTCAGTGAGAAGGCTCAGAAGCCTGGCTGGGGGCAGACCACGTCGTGCTGAGAGCTGAGGCAGGCAGGGGGAGTGCACAGGGACCTTTCAGAGCCCCTGTCTGCTGCTGACCGTCAGGGTTACGTGGGCACTGAGGCAAGTTAGGGAGCCCATGACCCTCCCTCAAGGCGGGACCCAGAAAGGAATGAGCGCTTGCAGGGAACTCCCTGTCAGCCAGAAGAGCTGACGTGGACTTGAGGTCCTTGTGTGGCAATGGGGCTTGTGCAGTTCTTGAGGCTGCCCCTCCCCCTTGTCCCTGCCCTGCAGGAGATGAAAGAGCTGGCCAGGCTGGGCGCCACTCACTTCCATCACATCGACTCCGCCATCGCATGGACTTTCAGAAACCACCTCATGTTCCGGGAACGTTACGGAATGAAGTGAGGCCTCTGGGCTGGGGAGGACCCGCGGGTGGGAGGAGCAAGGGTCCTGGGGCACATGGGGTCCCTAGGGAAGATTGGGTGCAAGCCTAAAACAGTTCATTGAGCACAGAAAACAAACTTGCCTTTTCTATAGTACACAAACTTTCCCAAGACACTGTGGAGAGACTGAAATGAAAAGAAACACCAGGGGAGACAATAGTAGCAATCTAACTAATAAAGGTGTTGTTTCCAGAATATTCAAGGAGCCCTTCAACTCAGTCACAAGGAAGCAGTGGGCAGCCCCCCAGTACCCCGGGAACACAGGCTCGGGGGGGACCCTTCATGAACGCACACACAATTCACCTCCTCAGCGCATGAACACACGCTTATTCCCTACACCACAAAGGGGCACCAGCGCACAGCTGTGGGAGGGGGGAACTAAAACCACTGAGGACGCCGGGTGCTGCTCCCTACAAGGCTGAACGTGCATGGGAGGCTGACTCTCCACAGCTTGGACACACGGGACTGCACTCCCACAGTGGGACGCTCACCTGTGCCCTGAACACCCACCTGGGAAATGAAAGTGCACGTGACTGCGCCCTGGGAGGTGTGCGTGTCCCTGCAGGCGGCGCTCACCCACATGGTGGACAACACGCAGGTGCCCTGACGACGTCACTGCACATGAGCAGAGTGTCACGGGCCCTGCGTGTGGCTGTCAGGCTCTGTTAGGCAGAGCTGCACTGAGAGCCTCGGCAGCACAAGACACACGGCCTCTGTCCTCTCTCTTCCAGCCAACAGGCCTTATTCCACATACTGATGGCCTATTCCGTCTACAATCCCGTGAGTATTCTGGGATCATAGCGCAGGTGCTATCCCGGCAGTCCCTGCAGGGCACCCCTGGTCACAGAGATCCCAGCCTGGGTTGAGGGGGCCTCGCTCATCCACAGCTCTGAGGAAGAGCGGTGGAGGCCAGGCTCTGAGCCTCTTGGACCCAACCTCAAGTTCTGGGAGGAGAAAGGCAGCCTTCTCCTGGGCTGGTCTCCAGACCCCAGGAGCTTGGCCGTGTTGGGATGCCCCTCCCAGGACTAGCATTCCACGCAGTGGGGCGGGGGGCGAAGGCAGGGCAGATCAGGTGTACGACTTTGCTCTGGGTCCCACTGATGCCATTACACCCACCAGCCCTGTGGTTGGACCCATGGGCCTGAATCCCACTCTGTACAGCGCCACTGCCACAACCACCCACTCAGACTTTCCCATGAGTGGAGCAGGCGCAGGGCTCCATGGGTGACCCAGCAAGGCCTGGACATCCCCACCCCCCTGACCTGCCACTGGCCAACCCTGCCTGGTGCCCTGGTTCCCAGGGGGGCCTGGCATTCAGGAAGCCCAGGCCTGCACCCATGCCAGAGGCACACCTCCTGTTCCGGTCCTGGTAGCACTTCCTGGCTTACTTCTTCCTCATGTGAGAAAGGGCCACCGGCTCACCTGCAGAGCTCAGGGGTCCAGAAGCTTCCATGGGCATGGATCTGGATTCCCACAGCAACCTGGCCCATGCTGACATCTTGGGGGTAACAGGTGTCCATACTTGAGCTCTCCCCCTGTGCTGCCTAAGCTCAGGCCCTGCAGGATTCCCTCCAGGAACTTGGAGAACTTCTCTGGGCTCCAATTCTTGGGCAGCTGACACCAAGTGGCAGGATTCAGGCACAGGGGCTCCCTGTGCCTAAATCTTCCTGGACCCTTCAGTGGGTGACCCTGATCTGCCTGAGAGGTGGGCCATCCTAGGATATCATTCTTGCCAGGGGAGGTCTCCTAAAGGTATTCTGGGATCTTGCAGGAGGTGGGCTACAGCCAGGGTCTGAGCCATGTGGTGGCGCTGTTGCTCATGTATATGCCCGAGGAGGACGCTTTCTGGGCCCTGGTGCAGCTCATGGAAAGCAGGAAGCACGCGATGCACGGTAGGTGGATGGCGTGTGGGGCCCAGTGCATGCAAGTCCGTGCACGGCCCTCACTGGCTCCTGAATGTGCAGGACAGTGTCACAGTGTGGGGGGGGGGCTCCCAGGAAGCCAGGGCTGGCAGAGGCCTCCCAGACTGAGCCAGCCCCCTTCTTTTACCACCACCCAAAGGCCCTGCAGCTTGGCCATGGCCATCCTGGGTGTGAGAACCTTCAGAACAAGGGGTCCTGTCCTTGTCCAGTGACTCAGGTCGATTCTGACTCTTCTGCCTCACACGTCTGTACACAACTCTCAAGCACAGAGCCACACCCAGGGAACTTGTGGAAGGCAGCATCCCCTGTAGGGTCACCCCTCCTCGCTCCTGAGTCTTGGAATGGTCAGGAGGCACCCAGTCTGACTTGCACCCACCCCAGCGGGCTCCAGGGGGCAGCCAGGCCTGGGCTGCACACAGTCACCCACCTGCACCCACCTCCCAAGCAGATCCTCTGCCCTGGCCACGTTCATCCCCACCTGCCCCTGGTCCAGCCTCCCCTGACCCTCAGTGCTCAGAAGCACCCCACCCAGGCCTGGGGCTCTCCAGCCTTCCTAGGAGGAGGCTCTCACGTGGGGGTGTGGCTGATTCTACTCAGGTTTCTACAAACCAAACACCCCCAAACTGGAGCGATTCCAGCAACACCTGGGGCTCATTGTGCATCGCGTGCTCCCCTCCCTGGAGAAACACCTGGTAAGTTAAGCATCTCCTTTCTCCTCTTGGGGGCTCTGGGCTCATGGGACTGCTTCCTGAGCCAGGGGAGGCCACATCCTCACCAAAACTTTCCTTGGTTACGGGGGTCCACGGCAGCTTGGGTGTTGGTTTGTTGTCCAGCACTTGGTCCCCCAGAGTTGGCGTAGATTGAAGGGAGACGCTGTCCCCAGAGCAGAGTGGAAGGAGGGACCTGTGTCCCTTCAGGAACCTGCATGGCTGGGAGGGGGGATGCCCCTGCTGCTGGGCTTCCTGCACCCAGGGGCTCTGCCCCAGGGCTCAGATTAGAGGGAGTCAGGCCTGGGCCCTGGGCCCTGGGCCCTGAGCCCCCTCTGCCTCTGCCTCTTCTTAGGAGAAGGAGGGTGTGTGCCTGGAGGACTCCACCACCCACTGGTACATCCAGTGCTTCCTGGATGGGGTAAGTGCCCCGGGGACCCCTTGCCCAGGGAAGCTCCTGCCCCAGTGCCTGGTTCTCTGGTGCTGGTGGCCTGTGACTCTGAGCTCCCCCAGCCCCAGCAGACACAGGAGGGAGCCTGCTGTGCAGACCAGGCAGGCCCTGTCCAGCCCTGCTAAGGGTGGTCCAAGCTGAGGCTGAGCCTCAGAGCCAGCAAGGAGGGGACAGGTCCCACCAGGACCCATCCTGAGAGCCTGGCAAAGGCCAGAGCCCTACAGTGAGAGGCAGGAGATCCATAGACCCCCCGAGGCAGAGGCTGGTGGCAGCACAGCCCAAGGGCTGAGCCCCTCCCCAGGTCCCTGGGGTGTCTGGCATCTCCAGTGTGGCTTCCAAAGTGTGCAGACCCCCAGGGTCCAGGACAGGACATGGTCATCCTCTGTGGGTCTGGTTCGCTGAGTGGGCAGGGATGTGGCCATGAGGCATGGCCTCCCCTCCCCTCCCAGGAGGAGCTCTGGCCTTCTTGTGTGATCAGCCTCCTGGAGTCTCCCTCTGTCCTAGGGGAGTGACACTGCACACCCACCCCTGTGGGCCCTGCTGAGGCCCTGATGGGCGGGTCCTCCAATGCCTCTGTCCCCAGGTGCCGTTCCCCCTGGCTCTGAGAATATGGGATATATACATCCTGGAGGGCGAGCACGTGCTCCCGGCCATGGCATACACGGCCCTCAAGATCCATAACAGTGAGTCCTCAGGGCCCACAGAGGCCCGGGTGCTGGGGACGGAGGAGCTGGGGGTCCCCTGCCTGTCCCTCGTGAGCAGGGCTTGAGGGAGGGATGAGGGGGTTGGGGAGGCCTGGGTTCCCTTCAGGAGGGCACTGAGAATCCCCCTGTTGCATCCCCAATCCCAGGCCCCCACAGACCACAAGGAGAAGTGGCCAGGGTCATCGCACTGGAAATTGGCCCCTGAGCAGTCCCTCTAGTGCTTGGCGTGACACCCAAGGGTGTCCAAGGGTGTCTGCAGCCCATGTCTGGTGCTGGGACAGGGCTTGGAGCAGCCATGGTGGCTGCGCCATCCCTAGGGCCCCTCCCAGCCTGACACCCACCCCCATGTCTAGAGCGCCTGCTGAAGATGCCCCGGGACCACCTCCGGGAGTTCCTGCAGGTGACCCTGAAGCAGGCCTGGTCTCTGAGCGAGGACGCGGTCATCAGGCAGCTGCGGGCCTCCATGCGTGAGCTGGGGAAGCTCCAGTGCCTCCTGCCTCCCGAAGGTGAGTCCAGCACACGGCCCCGTCCCATGCTCCCTTGGGGGAGTCAGTAGTGGGAGTGCCAGGCCCTGACATCCCCGCCCAGGGCCTCACCTCTTCCTGGTCCTCCTTGTCCTCCCCGGGCTCAGCAGTTCTGCTTTCTGAAGCTCTGTCAGCATGGCCTGGCAGGGCCTCGGGCAGCTTCCCAGAATCCTCCTGTGGGTGCCGGCTCTCCCCCCACCACTCTGGGGCCGGGCCGTGGAGCTGTCCTCAGGACATTTGTGGCTCTGGCTCCTCGGCTGACCCCCACTCTGGAGTGGATTGGAGGCCCCGCCTTGAGCTACCCTGCCCAGGTCTGGAGCAGGTGCCCTGGCTCAGTGCCCCCAGGAGCCTGGAGCACAGCTGGACCCCCACTCCAGCAAGATGAGAAGTGGCCCTGCCTGCCCAGGGGGCCCCTCCCCAACTGACCCCACACAGGCTCCTGGCCCGATGACCACAGCTGTCTGCACACAGGACCCTCCTAGGACAGGGGTGGGCGGGGCTCCCACCTGCATGTGGGCAGGGCTAGAGGGAGGTGGGGCTGTGGGAGACCCTGTGCAGTGATGTAAAGGCTACCGGCACTGGATCCCCTTCAGCCATCTGAGAACCCCTGGAAGGCCCAGGTGCCCTGAGCCCAGTTGTGGGGGCCGAGTGCACTCCTGCGAGCAGGGCTGGGCACAGAGGCAGGGCTGGGGGCCCCACGGCAGAAAACAAGAGTGTGGGCTCTGCAGCCCTAGCCTCGGGCCAACAGAAGGCAGCGGGACCCGGAGCATCGCTGGCTTCTGGGCTCTAGTGGGGAGGGGTCCCCGTGCTCATCCCCTGCTGCTGCTGCCATCATGGACCTGAGCGCCTGGGTCCCCATGCAGAGCAGAGATGGGCTTGTCCCAGCTCTAGAGGCTCTAAGTGGGGGCCCAGGTGCAGGCTGTCCAGGCACTGGGGAGGCCCCACTGTGCCTCCAGGTGCTGCCTCCTTGGGTGCTCCTGGGACAGTAGCGGTGACAGCCCAGTCTCACCAGGAAAGAGACAGTGGCCCAGGGGCAGAGGACACAGGGCACCCCTGCCACCTCTTTAGAAACTGCATTCCCTGTCCCCAAGTCCTGAACCGGACTCCATGTCTGCCCCACAGCCCCAGCTCTCACCCCCATCATCTTAGGCTCAGTTCCTTTCCAGCCATGTAGGAGGGACTCAGATGCGGGAAATCAGCCAATGCACTGTTAGGGCGCAGCAGGTCAGGTGGGGTAGGTGATGGGGTCCTGAGTTGGTGCCTGGGTCCCCAGAGATGAGAGTGAGGCAAGGAGTTCAGGGCCATCCACCCTGTGGGGCTGTGCAGGAGGAGCCGGTGGTGTCCCAGGGCTCCCCTTGCCCGGGCTGCACACACCCTCCCGTCTGGGGCCAGCAGCCTGGAAGAGTCCTCAGCGTCACACGTGGTGATGGGGACCCCAGGATGAGGTCGGGGCAGGCACCCTGCAGGCCAGACGGGGGCTGTGGAGAAGCAAACCGCGTCTCTTCTTCTTCCAGCCAAGGCCATCGAACAGTGCAGCAGGCCCCTGGGGCAGGCACGCGTCCCCCAGATGCACGTTCCTGCCCCCACTGCTCCGAAGGCCAAAATCACCATTCAGGACACAGTGGCAGTGTGGGAGCAGACCAGGGGTCCCGCTACCCGTGCAGTGATGATCCGTCCTCCAGGAAGCTTTGGCCTCCGCATCACCAAGAGGGAAGGCATGGAGGAGGAGGAGAGCTGGGAAGGCAGCCCAGAGCCCCTCGGCCTGGGCTCCCCTGTGGGGACCGCAGAGTCTCCAGGTTCTGCCAGCCCCACGGAGTCTCCAAAGTGCTCGAGGTGGGGAGGCCTGTGCCAGTGCGCCAGTCTCCCTAACCTGAGCGGGCCAGAGCACAGGGAGGACGACTCCTCCGACGCTGGCAGCCGGGAGGGCCTGTGGATGTGGGCTCCTCCACAGGCCTCAGAGCCCCCAGAACCAGGGCCCATGCAGGCTGTCCCCGCCTGGGGGCCACAGCTGAAGACTCCCCCCTACTGGCATGGCAGCCCCACGCACTCTGGGGACAGTCACGGGCTGGAGCCGGCCAGAGCCAGCCCTGGGATGGGAGACCAGGCCCGCGTGCCCTCCCTGGCCAGAGGCCTCCTTACCTCTTATTCTGTGGGGCACCTGGATGATGGGTGCCTCCTAGAAGAGAGGCCGAGTCCAGCATCTGTCCTGCCCAGGCTGGGCAGCAGCCTTCCGTGTGTCTTCACGGCATCCTATGCACTTGGTTGAGCCCCCACCGCCCAGGCTCTTCCTGGGGCCAGGACACCCTGACACTGGAAGACAACAGCCGTGCCAGGAGCCACTGTACTCTCCTCCCCGCCCCCTCCCCCACCGCCACCCTCAGGTGGTGCTGAGTCTGTATTAAATTGTTCCATGGAAACGAGTTTGCTCCAGTTTGTGACCCCGGTGCCCAGCGGCAGCAAGCTTCCCCGTGTTCCTGGAGAGCGTAGGCAGCTCCACAGCCCCCAGCCCCAGGCAGAGACCCACTCAGGACCCTGCAGGCAATGCCTGAGATTCAGCTGTGCCCTGTGGGAACTGGGTCAGGGTGGGAGAGCAGCAGCTGTGAGTGCCCGTGACCTCTGGGACAGATCAGCACAATAGGAACAGCCGTGGTTGGAGGGCCTGTGTCACCTCTGTGCTCTCCCCTAGACCTGGGCGGCCGTGGCTGCAGCATCCCTGGCTTGACCCCACATGTCTCTCACAGGTATGGGATACCTGTGTCACACTGTATGTTCCAGGACCTCAGGAAGGAATTAAATTCCTGTGGTGTATACGCTGGCCCGTTATCAGTCTTTATTTTCCAGGGGACACCGAGGACCAGCAGGGCTGACTTAACCGCCTTTATCACATTTCTAGCCTTTTCTCCGGATTGGGCTGCTGCAAATACAGCCTTTGAATAAGTATCTCCCACCACTTGGACAAACTTAAGTTGACCCAAGGAGTTCATGTGGGTGAAGTCCACTTGCCAGAGCTTCTTAGGAGCAAGGCCTCGCGGGTTCACTCCTGCTTGTAGCAGTGGGGCTGACGGGGCGAGGGGGCACAATTCTTGCAAGAGTGCACTAGGTGTTTGCATTGGCTCATTGTTAGCTCCGGGAAAAGTGATTTTGTGTTGCTTTCTGCCATATGAAGTTTTTGGTGTAGAATAGGGGCTTGTTCTAGGTGTCTGATGGCAGCCAAGTTGCAGGAGATAAGATGATCGACCTTTTCATTGCCTTGGGAAACTCACATAACAAGCAGCAAGTATGACCTGCAAACCAGCGTAAGCACAGCAATGGAGTTTTTTTTCTGAACTTGAGCCTTGAACCCCCTGGGCGGTTTAAAGGGCCCTGTGCCTCCATCAGCACCAGCAGGTGGTATCGGGAGAGAGGCATCTCCCCAGACTGAGTTGTCCCGAGCCCTTCCAGCCCCTGAGGCTGCAGCCCTACAGGCCCACACGCCGGGTCACCAAGGGGCGGTGCTGCTCTGCCTAGACCCTCCAGAGAGCTCCCCCAGCCTCCGATGCAGGAGCACAGTGTGTTGGCTCCAACAAGACGAGGGTGTCCATGGAAACGCTAGCAGAAGCGAGCCCGAGACAGCTGCTTGTGCTCTTATCTGGAACCCGGTGAGCAGCAAGACGAGTAACTTAATATCGGGTTATAACCATGAATAAAACCCCACATGTGAGTGCATCCTGATACAAACAGATAACTGCATAAGCAGACGGATGGAGAAGAGACAAATACTCCTGAGAGAGACCCTAAGTAGTCAATGGCTGACTCCGCTCCAGCAGGGGGAGCTACTGCCCCTCCCTGACAGATGTGGACAGTCCTCTGGTGATAACCCGTGGTCAGCCACAGCTGTCATGCACCTGGATGCCAGGTGACAAGAAGGGACCTGATTTCTTTGGTTTTCTTTCCAAACTCCCCAACCCTAGTCCAAACTCCAAAGAGAGCACAGTGTAGGGGACATTGGGTCATCCCTGGCCAGGCCTCCCCTAGAGTGGCAAGGTCAGAAAACCCAGGACAGGCTGAGAAAGCTCCCAGCCCCGAGGACAGGTGGACAACGGGCAGCTGGCACTCAGCTCTGGGTGCTTCTTTGCCTAAAGCAGTTGCCGGATGTGAATCCTGTTTGGCACAGGGTTCTCCCTGGGCTCGAAATAATTGTGTGTCTTTTCTGCTCTGATGCCCAGCAAACCGTATTCTGTCATTGTTGGTGATAGAGTGCCTCCAGCCAAAACAAAACAAAAGTGCTTAATCTTGAATTCACTTGGAAGGCAGAGTCACAGAGAGGCAGAGAGAGAGAGAGAGCGAGCGAGAGAGAGAGAGAGCAAGAATTTCAGTCCGTTGGTTCACTCCCCAAATGGCTGCAATGGCAGCTGGGCCTCCTCTGGGTCTCCCATTTGGGTGCAGGGGCCCAAGCACTTGGGTCATCTTCCACTGCTTTCCCAGGCCATTAGCAGAGAGCTGGATGGGAAGTGGAGCAGCCGGGACTGGAACTGGAGCCCACATGGGATACCGGCACAGCAGGCAGCAGCTTTACCCATTAAGCCACAACATGGACCCTAATTTTGACATATTGTGACATGTAAAACCTGCACTTTTAAAAATGTGAGGGGCTGGCTTGTGGCTCAGTGGGTTTAAAGCCCAGGCCTGTGGTGTTGGCATCCCATATGGATGCTGGCCAAGTCTGGCTGTTCTGCTTCCAATCCAGCTCCCTGCCATGGCCTGGGAAAGCAGTAGAAGATGGCCCAAGTCCTTGGGCCTCTGCACCTGCGTGGGGGACCCAGAAGAAGCTCTTGGCTTCTGGCTTCTAATCAGCACAGCTCCGGCCATTTTGGTCATTTGGGGAGTGAATCAGCAGATGGAAGACATTTCTCTCTCTCTCTTTCTCTATCTCTCTAACTCTGTCTTTCAAATAAATAAAATAAGTCTTTTTTTTAAAAAAATTAATGTGAGGCAATATCTACACATTCACAAAAGACCTTCAAAAACGTAGTGGAAGCTGCATTTTATGAAAAAGTCATGTGACTTTCGAAATTTTTGCACTGAAATAAGCTTACTGTTTTTTTTTTTTTTTTAAGATTCGTTTATTTATTTGAAAGTCAGAATTACACACAGAGAGGAGAGGCAGAGAGAGAAAGAGAGACAGAGGTCTTCGATCTGCTGGTTCACTCCTCAACTGGCCCCCATAGCCACAGGTGTGCCGATCCGAAGCCAGGAGCCAGAGCTTCTTCCTGGTCTCCCACGCAGGTGCAGGGGCCCAAGGACTTGGGCTATCTTCTACTGCCTTCCCAGGCCATAGCAGAGAGCTGGATGGGAAGTGGAGCAGCTGGGACTCAAGCTGGCTCCCATATGGGATGCCAGCACTGCAGGAGGAGGCTTTAACTCACTACGCCAGAGCCACAGCACCAGCCCCAGCTTACTGTGTTTAAAAAGGAATTATTGGGGCCAGCGCAGTGGCCCAGTGGGTTAACGCCCTGGCCTTAGGGACCGGTGTCCCATATGGGCACCGGTTCTAGTCCCAGCTGCTCCTCTTATGATCTAGCTCTCTGCTATGGCCTGGGAAAGCAGTAGAAGATGGCCCAAGTCCTTGGGCCCCTGCACCCGTGTGGAAGGCACAGAAGAAGCTCCTGGTTCCTTGCTTCAGATCGGCTCAGCTCTGCCTGTTGCGGCCATCTGGGGAGTGAATCAGTGGATGGAAGACCTCTCTCTCTCTCTCTCTCACTGTCCACTCTGCCTGTCAAAGAAAAAAAAATAGAGTAATTATCCAGACTTACTTCCTATAATTAATTGACTTTGACACTTATTATCAGGACTTCTACCATGCACTGCTCATTCAAAATATTTGATTCTGATTAATTTTTAGAAGCCTATAGTATTTCTTTTTTGTTTGTTTTTTCATCTATAGTATTTTGAGCAGGAGAATCTTCAGAGCCCATGATCCAGAGAATTCTTTCTGTGACTATCACATATTGGTTTTTTTGTTTTCCTTTTTAAATATTTATTTATTTATTTATTTATTTGAAAGGCGTAGTTACAGAGAGGCAGAGATAGAAAGAGAAAGAGAGAGAGAGAGAGAGTCTGCAAAATTACTCTTTTTTTTTTCTTTGACAGGCAGAGTGGACAGTGAGAGTGAGAGAGAAAGAGAGAGAGAGAGATAAAGGTCTTCCTTTGCCGTTGGTTCACTCTCCAATGGCCACTGCGGCTGGCGCACCACGCTGATCCGATGGCAGGAGCCAGGTGCTTCTCCTGGTCTCCCGTGGGGTGCAGGGCCCAAGCACTTGGGCCATCCTCCACTGCACTCCCGGGCCACAGCAGAGAGCTGGCCTGGAAGAGGGGCAACTGGGACAGAATCCGGTGCCCCGACCGGGACTAGAACCCGGTGTGCCGGCACCGCTAGGTGGAGGATTAGCCTGGTGAGCCGCGGTGCCAGCCTGGATAATTGCTCTAGATAAAGACACTGTAGGGGCTGGCACTGTGGCGTATTGAGTAAACCCGCTGCCTGCAGTGCCGGCCTCCCATACGGGCACTGGTTCCAATCCAGCTCCTCTCTTTTTTTTTTTTTTAAAGATTTATTTATTTATTTGAAAGAGTTATATAGAAAGATAAGGAGAGAGAGAGAGAGAAAGAGAGAGAGGTCTTCCATCTGCTGGTTTACTCCCCAACTGGCCGCAACAGAGTGAGCTATTCCAATCCGAAGCTAGGAGATAGGAGCTTCCTCTGGGTTTCCCACATGGAAACATGCAGAGAGCTGGATTGGAAGTGGAGCAGCCGGGACTGGAACCAGCACCTCTGCTGTGGCCTGGGAAAGCAGAAGATGGCCCAAGCCCTTGAGAAACTGCACCGCATGGGAGACTGTGGGGAGCAACTCGGACTAGACTGTTACTGGAATTAAGACTTATTCTATGCATCTGCTCTCCCACAATATGGCGCTGAGAAGGGAGAAACAGCTTCTACGCAGCTGCCTCCAGTTCAACCAATAAACTGTAGGACCTGCTCCTGATTGGAGGAGAGCAGCGTACTCGGCGTGTGGGTAGCAGAGTTGGGATTGGCGGAAAAGGACTATGAAGGAGGAGAGAGACAACATGCACCAGGAACATCTATCTGAAGGAACACCTGTGCAGCCCCCGAGAGAGCCGGCCGGCGGTGTGCCGCTCCCCCGCGGAAGTGGGGAAGGTGGCAGGGGGAACTGCCCTTCCACAGAGGTGGAAGGGATGGTAGCCAACCTGGGAAGAACCAGCAGCAAACCCGGGGAGGGCCGAGCAGACAAAAGAACAGCGCAGGGTCCTGTGTCGTTCCTCCACAAAGAGGGGCAGCGACAGGAGACTGGTAAGAAGCTCTTGGCTCCTGGCTTCAGATTGGCACAGCTCTGGCTGTTGCGGCCAACTGGGGAGCGAACCAGCAGATGGAAGACCTCTCTCTCCCTGCCTCTGCTTCTTCTCTGTGTAACTCCGACTCTCAAATAAATAAATAAATCTTTTTTAAACAAGACATTGCAAATGTTAAAAATTAAAATTTAACCTGTTTTGTTAAAAACAACCTTTTAAAGATAAAAATAACGTGGTTTTTGTTCAATTATTCCAGACTATATTCTCACATATAGGGGTAGTGCTAGAAAGAATAGGAAAAAACATGAGAGGACAGAGTAAATACCTGAGATAATAGAGAAATATCTGTTCAAGTGCTTTTCAGTGCAAGAGTAGCTGGTAGAATTAAAGACAGCGTGTGATGTTACAAATCAGTCAGAAACAAGAGTGTAACTCCTCATGCAAAAGGGAGAGCACTGAAAGTAGCCATGAAACGTAAGCCAAAACCTTAGAAGAGAGTGACTGAAATTAGAACACACCAACCACAACCACAAAAAATGGGTTAAATTTATTATAAGAATCTCAGAGTAAAATTTTTTTTTTGACAGGCAGAGTGGAGAGAGAGAGAGAGAGAGAGAGAGAGAGAGAGAGATCTTCCTTTGCCGTTGGTTCACCCTCCAGTGACTGCTGCGGCTGGCGTACCACGCTGATCAGATGGCAGGAGCCAGGTAATTGTCCTGGTCTCCCATGGGGTGCAGGGCCCAAGCACCTGGGCCATCCTCCACTGCACTCCCTGGCCACAGCAGAGAGCTGGCCTGGCAGAGGGGCAACCGGGACAGAATCCGGTGCCCCGACAGGGACTAGAACCCAGTGTGCCGGCACCGCAAGGCGGAGGAATAGCCTAGTGAGCCAGGATGCCGGCCTGAACTCAGGTATTCTTATATAGGACCTGGCTGCAGCGGCTTTACCACTGCACCAAGGGCCTGCCCCCAATGTTTTTCTTAAGCTTTAGGTGTCTTCGCATCAGGAAAGGAGTGGCAAATCCAGACCCAAAATGCAAAGTCATCGTAATCAGTCATTGCTTTCTTTTTCCACTTAACGTGGCCAACTCTTCCCTGGGCTCTTCTGGGGGTTCCTACAGACCACAGAGCCTGAACCCCAGCTGCTCTGCTCCAAAGTGGCCCAGACACCCAATGGGGACGATATGGCAGCACCATACTACGTCTTCCTTTTTTCCACAACCTTGTTCTCTTTCTACCTGTTTATGTTGTAAAGTTTTAGAATTTTTATTTACATTTGTTTATTTGAAAGGCAGAGAGACAGAGATCTCCTGGCCACTGATCCATTCCCCAAATGTCTGCAACAGCCAGGGCTGGGCCAGGCTGAAGCCAGGAGCCCCAAACTCAATTTGGGTCTCCTGTGTGGGTGACAGGGATCCAAATATTTGGGCTGTCACTTACTCCCTCCCAGGGTCTAGGCCAGCAGGAAGCTGGAATTCAAAGTGGAGCCAGGACTCAAATCCAGGCACTCTGATAGGGGCTACCAGCATACCAAGCTGTGTCTTAACTGCTGCACCAAATGTCCAAAACAATGGTGCAAGGTCTTTTAAAAAACAAACAAAAAATCTGCCCATTAGCATCAGAGTTGGGGGAGGGGGGAGCAGGTTACAGGTACAGATTCTGAAACTCTGCAGTCTTAAGAGACTGGGTGGCTGCAGCCTCATTTTGAGTATCCATCCCAGTGCAACAGGAGAGAAACAGGACTCATTTAGAAAAATATCAAGCTCCTCACAACTGGACACGTGTCCATTTCTAGCTCCAAACCAATCAGGAGCGAGGAGTGTCAGATCCTCACCGGCAGTGACCCCTGCTGCCCTGGTAGGGACTCCTGAACGTTCAAGCATGCCCAAAATGGCCTCATGTGAACTTTCCGGGGTGATGGTATCAAGCACCATTGCTGTGGTGTGTCGTGTGCAAAAACAGTGAAAGCCAAATCAGCGGTGCCTGTGCAGATCACCTAGCTGGGTGCCAAATGCTGTCCTGTGCCCAGGGGTTTGAGCCAGATTGAAGTGCCGTGTGTACTGGGGGAACGGGCATGCCTTCCCACCCCCATGAAAGCACCTGTTCGGCTCCCATAGGACAGCAAGTTGATGGAAGCTCACCCTGCTGTGCTGTCCCTGTGTTGGAGCATGAGCGCCCCATAAACCCTTCTGGGTTGCATATTGGCCCCTTGTCAATTTCTATCTGCAAGTGAGCCAAAGACCCTGGGCTTGGTAAGGCCACTGTGATGTACAAATAGTTCCACTTTCTGGAAGCAGGTTTGTGACAATGTTTCAGGATCACCTTTTGCAGCATGAGTTAATCAAAGAAAAAAAGACAAAGGTTGTCCCTTGCATTCTTCATTAAAAAAATTTTATATATTTGAAATGCAAAATGAGAGAGAGAGAGAGAGCAGGAAGGAGGAGGGAGGGAGGCAGGGAGGGAGAGAGAGAGATCTTTCATCCACTGGTTCATTCCCCAAGTGCCCTCAGTAGCAGGGCCGAGTCGGGCTGAAAGCAGGAAATACAGCTGCATCTCCCACGTGGGTGGCAGGAACCCAGCACCTGGGCCTTCCCCTGCTGCTTCTCATGCACATCGCAGGAAACTGAATGCAAGTGCAGACGGACACCGCACGCAGGGGCTCCAGCCACCGCGCTGGCACATCGCCTGCCCGTGTTCTCCACCTCCTTTCAGGCTCGGGACCTTCCACGTCTCACCTGTCGACAGGTGTGCTGGCCTGCCAGGTATGTAGCCTGCTTCCTCGCCACCCCCCCCCCCAGCACCAGGTGAACACCATGCTCCCCATCAGCAGCTTCCTGCCTGACTCGCAGGCGCACACCTGTCCTTTCCCAAGGTCCTCCTGGGGGACGTCAAGCACACACCTGTGGGGCCTGTAGAATCAAGCTTTTTTTTTTTCCTTGAATTTTTATTTTTTTTAAAGGTTTACTTGAAAGTCAGTTACCGAGAGAGTCGAGCTTATTTTTTAAAACTAGAGGCTTACCTGAACATCTTGCTCCCCCAAGCACAGAACCTAACAATTCCCATGCTCTCTCTAATCTGGTCTTCTACTATTTTGTTGGTTGCCCCAATCAATTAACACATTTCCACATAGAGCTTAAGAAACCTTGTGCCCACCCCCACCCCCCATTGAAATATTAAGGAATTCAGCTGTAAAAGCTTCCTGGCCCAGGATTTGGGGGGGGGGGTGTCGAGGTTTCTTTCATTTTTTAAAAAAATATTATTTATTTATTTGAGTGCTAGTTAGAGAGAGAGGGAAAGACAGAGAGAAAGGTCTTCCATCAGCTGGTTCACTCCCCAGATGGCCAGAGCTGGGCCAATCAGAAGCCAGGAGCTTCTTCTGGGTGCGGGGACAGAGCCTTCCAAGTGAGAACTCTGGTGGCTGCTTCAGTCACAGGAGCTGCAGACCCCGGCCCACTCAGAGGACGGGGTCGTGCACACTTCCGCTAAGACAAGCAAGCCCCGCACAGAGACCTGGGGAGCGCGGCCCGCTGGACGCTGGGGGTGGACAGCCCAGCAGGCCCCGCGCGCTCCCGGCGGGGAGGCCAGCCCAGGTCCCCAAGCCCCCGGGCGCCCCGCGGCCCAGGAAGCGAGCCGCGCGCCAGGACCGCGGGCCCCCACGCCCCTCCCCGCCGCACGGCGGCGCTGCGCAAGGCCGGCCGTTGTCCGGGGCCGTTGGGCGCCCACGTGGCTTCTGGACGCCTGGAGGCCGGCGCGGGGGCGGGCGCCATTACGAGAGGCCGGGGGCGCGGGGTGGAGCCGACGAGGAGCCCAGAGCGCGCCCGCGGCGGCGGCGTCGGGTGGGAAGACGAGGCGCGGCACTGGGGGGCGTGGCGGCCGGCCTGCAGGCGGGGGCGCGTCCAGGGCAGGAAGCTGGAGTCCCCGTCGAGCTGGTGGGCGCGGCCCCCGCAGAGGCCTGAGGCGTCCGGCGCGATGGCAGGGGCCGCCCCCGGGGCGGCGGCAGGGGCCGCGCGGCTCGCCACGCCCGCCACGCCCGCCACGCCCGCCGCCGGGCGCGTCGTCCAGGGCGAGCGGGCCAGAGGCGCGGCGAAGATGCTCCAGGTCCTGGTGCTCCAGGTGAGCGAGCGGCCCGCGCACGGACGGTCGGGCCCGGGTCGGTGCAGGCGGGAGGCTGGAGTGCGGGTGGGGGTCGCTTCAGAAGGGGGCGCGTGCGCTGTTCCGGACAACCCCGGAGGGCGGTTGCTGCGAGCTGTCTCGCACTAGGTGTGCGTGCCTGACTCGGGCACGTTGGCAGGTGTGTCGGTGCCCCGCACACCCCAGCCCACGTCCGCCCTAGGTTAGGGCCCTCGCGGGGAACCGTGGACCTGGCTCCCGCCCTTCCCCCGCCGCCCTCGGGGCTCGGCTTCTGGGACCCCCCCGCCCCCCCCCACGCCGCCCTCTCCTCACGCGGGTGTCCTGGTCCCCGGGGCGGGCATGGGCCGCCACCTGGGAGACTTGAGGTGCAGGGAGGGCTCCCGAGGAAGACTGAGGGGAGGCGCTGGAGGAGGGAGTTTACAAACCGGAGCCAGGGTGTGGGATGGGGAGGGGCGCCGCGAAGGAGGGGGATGGGTGGTGTTTGTGTTCTGTGGATTCACCCGACCAGAGCGTCACACACCCCCGAAGCCGCTGACTCCTTGCAAGGAGGCCTGGCTCTCAGACTTTTCAATTTGTTTTATTTACTTGACAGAGTTAGAGACAGTGAGAGACACAGACAGACAGAAAGGTCTTCCTTCCTTTTGTTCACCCCACAAATGGCCGCCACGGCCAGCGTGCTGCGCCGATCAGAAACCAGGAGCCAGGTGCTTCCTCCTGGTCTCCCATGCGGGTGCAGGGCCCAAGCACTTGGGCCATCCTCCACTGTACTCCCGGGCCACAGCAGAGAGCTAGACTAGAAGAAGAGCAACTGGGACTAGAACCCGGCGCCCATATGGTTCGCTGGCGCCCCAGGCAGAGGATGAACCAAGTGAGCCATGGCGTCGGCCCCTGGCTCTCAGACTTTGAAGGGATTTCAGGTCTCCCTGGGAGGCTCCTCTGCACTAGTCAATGTTCTCCATCAGTCCTAAATATGTCAGTCCCAATTCCTTCCTGTGAAAGGGCTCTCACCCATCGTGCCACGTGCACGCCCGTGGGTGCAGGACTTGGGCAAGAAGTGCTGGGCTCGTGCCCTCCTGCTTGGGAACCCGTGTGTGTGTTGGGCCCTGGAACCTGCTTGTGTCTCCCCTCAGCTCTGCCCGGCCTCCACTTATGACTGCGACCTGGCTCACCCTTGGAGCAAATCTTCTGTCCCTTATAGGAGTATTTGCCCCAGTGAGGTCCAGGTTCCGGCTGTCCTGATCCAGATTGATGTGGCATTTCCATGGATACGGTGCCCCCTCCCACCCTGTGCCCATCAACAGGTGATGGGGTACCCTCAGGGTGGTGTGCATGTAGGATGGGAAATTATTTAGCTTTCACATTGTTTAGTTTTGAGGTGTCCTCTTACACGTGAGGATGTCATATGAAGTGAGGTGAGCCAAGCAGAAAGGCCCACGTGCTGTATGATTCTGTGGGCGAGTTGAATGGCAGCTGCCAGAGGTTGGGTTTGTGCGTACAGGGCAGAGATTCACTTTTGCAAGGTGAAGAATTCTGGAGATGGCTGGTGCTCGCGGTTGCACAACAGTGCCAGTCTACGTAATGCTACTGAACTGTACACTTAAAATTGCCCAAAAGGATGAATTTTATCTGGAGTTTGCCACGACTTTTTAAAAAGATTTACTTGATTCTGTCCCGGTTGCCCCTCTTCCAGGCCAGCCCTCTGCTGTGGCCAGGGAGTGCAGTGGAGGATGGCCCAGGTGCTTGGGCCCTGCACCCCAAGGGAGACCAGGAGAAGCACCTGGCTCCTGGCTCCTGCCATCGGATCAGCGCGGTGCGCCGGCCGCAGCGCGCTGGCCGCGGCAGCCATTGGAGGGTGAACCAACGGCAAAGGAAGACCTTTCTCTCTGTCTCTCTCTCTCACTGTCCACTCTGCCTGTCAAAAAAATAAATAAATAAATAAATAAATAAATAAAAAATAAATAAATAAAAATAAAAAGATTTACTTATTTGAATAACAGAATGACAGAGACCAACAGAGAGGGAGATCTTCCATCCACTGGTCCATTCCTCAAATGGCCGCAACAGCCAGATCTGGCAGAGTCTGAAGCCAGGAACCAGGAACTCCATCCGGGCCTATCATGTGGGTGGCAGGGGTCCAAGCACTGGGACCCCGAGGCACATTCCCAGGGAGCTGGATCAGAAGTGGAACAGGCGGGACTCGAACTGGTTCTTGGTGGTCATGAGACAGGAACCCGGCAGAGAAGAGAAGCAGCGACCCAGAAGACAGCGGCCTCCCTGAGTGACGCAGACAGAGGCGAGAGCTGTACCTGGAGAGCCGCATCACCAGGAGCCCTGTAGCAGGGCAGCTGTGCTGTTCCTGAAGAGTCCGGCCTGCAGGAGACTCTGCCACATCTGGCGGGGCCGAGACCTCTCCTGGCTAAGGAGGGCAGAGAAGAGCTGTTGGCTGCCAGGAACGTGAGGAGGGCTCGCACGCCCCAGCTGGTTAGGTGCCGCGTGTGATGTCTGCATCGCACCTCAGGGTGCCTGTTCAGATCTGACCGCTCAGCTTCTGGTCCAGCTTCCCGTGTGCTCACATGGGAAGGCAGCGTATGATGGCCCAAGTACTTTGACCCCTGCCCCTGTGTAGGAGGTCAGAGTGGAGTTCCTTCCCTCCTCCCAGACTTGGCTGTTGTGGGCATTTGGGGAGTGAACCAGCAGATGGAAGAGCTCTCTCCCATCCCCCACCTTGCTCTTGCTGTCCATCTCTCTCTGTCACTCTGCTTTTCAAATACATAAGTACACACAGCATATATGAGGAAAGCAGCCCGGGCCACACACTTCTGTGTTTGAAATCTGGGAGGCCGTAGCACCCTGATGGCTGGGCACGTGGCCTTGGAGCAGTGGCAGAAAGCAGTAGTCCTCGGCCTTCCCTGGGAAGCTCCTGGAGGAACTGGCAACTAGAACTGTGTGTGTTGCTGTCTGCAAAAACTGGGCCCGGCTTGCATTTTACAGGTTTTAGAAGCAGATTTTTTTTTTAAATGAAACATTCTAGCAGCCTCAACATTTAACATTAAAAAATTTATTTATGTATTTTCATTGGGAAAACAGGTCAGCAGAGTTCTTCCATCTGCTGGTTTACTCCAGAATGCCCACAGCAGCCAGAGCTGGGCCAGGCCAAAGCTGGGAGCCTAGAGCTCAGTCCTGGTCTCCCACATGGGTGACAGCGGCACAGTGCTCGAGCCATCATCTGCTGCCTGACCAGTAGGCACGTTGGCAGGAAGCTGGATTGGTGGTTGTGTGGCCTTGATGTGAACCAGGTACTCTGAGTATCCCAAGCCGTGACCTGACTGCTGCCCCAAACGCCCACCCCTAAGAATGCTTTGTAAACGTCTTTCCTAAATTACTCTTTGGAAAATTTCCAAACACAAAAACAGCATCATGAATGCCTGTGTGTACTACACCCACACTAACTGGTTGGTAACGCTTTGCTGCGTTTGCACTTCAGAAATATGTGTATGTAAAAATTACTTTTTCTTTTTTGGTTGAGCCATTTGAGAATGAGTCTAGAACTCAGAGCACTTAAGTGATTTTTCTAGGAACAAAGCCTTCCTCTTATAGAACTATAATGTAATCATCACACTTGAGAAATTTAATGTTGGTGCAAGTCTGTTACCTGATACACAGTCTGTACTCCCTTTGTCCTGATAAGGTCTACTGTAGCTTGTTTTTTCTGATAAAGAACCCAGAACTACACACTGCATTTAATTGTCATGGCCTTGTAGAGTTCATTCAGGCAGTACATTGGTCTATCTTTGATGATACTGAAATTTCTGAAGAATAAGGGCAGTCACTTTGCAAAGTATTCCTCAATAATTATAACTATATTAATATATTTAGGTTAGACACTTTTAGTAAAAATGCTACATAAGTTATGCCACGTCAGAGGACAAGATGTTTTAAAAAAAAAAATTGATGCTGGGGCCAGCATTGTGGTATAGCAAGGTAAGCTACCACCTGTGATGTCAGGACCCCATATGGGCACCTGTTCAAATCTCGTCTGCTCCACTTAAGATCTAGCTCCCTGCTAATGTGCCTGGGAAAGCAACAGAAGATGACACAAGTGCTTGGGCCTCTGCCACCCATGTGGGAGACCCAGATGAAGCTCTTGGCTTCAGCCTGGTCCAGCCCTGGTCATTGCAACCATTTGGGGAGTGAGTGAATTGGTGGGTGGAAGATCTCTCTCTGCCCCCCTCTCTGCCTCCCTCCCTCTCTAACTCTGCGTTTGAAATAAATAAGTAAATCTTTTTTAAAAATTCAGATTAATTTAAAAATTTTAACTTTTTATTAGAAAATGCATTGGAGATGCAGAAAAGTGTGGAAAATAGTATCAATATTGGGACACCCACCAAACTCTTATTTATTTGAAAGGTAGAGACACAAGGAGAGACAGAGCTCTCCCATCCCTTTGTTCACACCCCAGATGCCCACAGTAGCCAAGGCGGGGCCAGGCCAAAGCTTGGAGCTGGGAACTCACCCTGAGTCCCCCACACTGAGGACAGGGACCCAGTCACTCAAGCCATGGTCAAGAGGCCTCCTAGAGTGTGCACTGATTAGCAGCAAGCTGGAATCGGCATCAGAACGTGCACGGAAACCTAAGCACTCCCATGTGGAACGCAGACCCTGCCTGAGGATTCACTGCTATGACAAAAGCCCACCCCTATTTTTTAATTGATGTATAATTTATTTACAGAAAAATTCATTCCTTTTTGTGTAGACTTCTGTATTTTGAAAAATGCATAGCATCGTGAAATCACCCCAACAGTCAAAATGCAGAAGCATTTCCTCACTTCCCCATATTCCCATGATGAAGCTCCTTTGTAGCTGTATCTTTCTCTACCTGTAATGCTTTATAAAGAAGATTGTTTTCTGCTGCTATTAGTTTTTCTTTTCTAGAATGTCACAGAAATGGGTGCCTGCAGAATCCCAGAGCAGTAGTGGCCTTTCACTGTGGCTTCTTCAAAGACGACACATTGGATACTGCTTTGTGTTGCTGCATAGGGTCAGTGGCAGAGTAGTATTCCGTTGTGTGCACACACAGCAGTTTATACTCACAGGCCACTTGAGTTGTTTCAGTTTAGGGAGATGATGAACAACACTGCTATAATCTTTGCCTACAGGTAGTTGTATGGACTCGAGTTCATTTCATTTGGGAGAATAACTAGGATGGAATTGCTTGTGTTTTAACTTTATGAGAAACTGATGGACTGTGTTCCAGCATAACTGCCTTTTTGCATTTCTGTCAAAAATGTCTGAGTTCCCTTTTTCTCTCTCTCACTGTCTGACTTTGCCTGTCTAATAAAAGGGGGGGGGGGGCGCAGCGCCGTGGCTCACTTGGTTAATCCTGCACCTGCAGTGCCGGCATCCCATGTGGGCTCTGGGTTCTAGTCCCAGTTGCTCCTCTTGCAGTCCAGCTCTCTGCTGTGGCCCGGGAAGGCAGTGGAGGATGGCCCAAGTGCTTGGGCCCTGCACCCGCATGGGAGACCAGGAGAAGCACCTGGCTCCTGGCTTCGGATCGGCGCAATGCGCCGGCCATAGCAGCCATCTGGGTTGTGAACCAACGAAAGGAAGACCTTTCTCTCTGTTTCTCTCACTAACTCTATCTAATAATAAAAAAAAAAGTATGAGTTCTATTTGCTCTTCATCCCTGTATACAGTTAGTATTGTAAGGTTTTTTGTTTGTTTGTTTTTTAAAGATTGATGATTTTGACAGAGTTAGAGATCTTCCATCTGCTGGTTCACTCTTGAATTGGCCACAAAGGTGGGAGCTGGGCCAGGCCAAAGCCAGGAGCCCCGACTCCATCTGGGTCTCCTTTATGGGTGCAGGGGCTCAAGCACTTGGGCCATCCTCCACTGCTGTCCCAGGCAATTACATTACAGGGAGCTGGATTGGAAGTAGAGCAGCTGTGACTGGAACCCACGCTTTGGTGAGGTATATGTTAAGATTTGTACATTCTTCTAATAATTATGAACTCCTTAACGTTCTTTATATATTACAAAGTTCTTTGTTAGATGTATGATGTGTGAATACTTCCTCCCAGTTTCCTTTCTCTTATGTTTTTCAAGGAGCAGAAGGTTTTAATTTGGATGGACTTTAATTTATCAGTCTTTGCTTCTATGAATTATACTTTTGGTAATGTTATCTTTGTCTAATTTAGCCACAAAGGTTGCCTCCTATTCTTTTAGGAGTTTCACATTTAGCTATGTGATCCATCTGACTTAATTTTTTGTTTGGGGTCAGGAATGGATGGAGGTTTTGTTTTATTTGCATGTGGGTATCTAATTGCTGCAGGACCATTTGTTGAAAAGAGTATACTGTGTACATTGCATTCCTGTGTGCCTTTATCAAACAGGAGCTGACCATGTTCGCGTGTGTCCCTTTGTGTGTGTGTGTCCTATGGAGCTCAGCACCTGTGCTTTCTCCAGCGCCACCCTCGCCTGATGGCTGTAGTCTCACAGCTGAGACTGGGACTTGAGGTCGGATAGTGAGTCCTCCAGTTGTGTTCTTCTTTCTCATGATTATTTAGGCTGTTCGAATTCCTTTGATTTTATTTAACCAAAGATTTATTTTTATTTATTTGAAAGTGAGAGTTACAGAGAGAGGTAGAGCCAGAGAGAGAGGTCTTCCCTCTGCTGGTTCACTCCCCAAATGACTGCAATGCCTAGAGCTTATCTGATCTGAAGCCAGGAGCTTCTTCCAGGTCTCCCACGCAGGTGCCGGGCCCCAAGGACTTGGGCCATCTTCTGCTGCTTTCCCAGGCCATAGCAGAGAGCTGGATCGGAAGTGGAGCAGCCAGGACTCAAACTGATGCCTATATGGTTTGCCATTGCTGCAGGCTGTGGCTTTAACCCGCTGCACCACAGCACCAGCCCCTAATTCCTTTGTCTTTCCAAGGAGGATCTCATTATTAGCATGCTGATTTGTAACCACCCCTTCCCTGCAAAAATCCATCATTAAACCTGCTGGAATTGCGTTGTGTTTCTAGAGCACTTCAGGGGAAAACAGCCGTTTCTTAATTATGGCCCCCACAGGTGCTAGGGGGCATCCCACCCCCAGCACTGCGCAGCATCTCATGAACAGCCTCCATTACTGTCAGCCACCCCTCAAGGCGCATAGCCCATGGTGCTGAGGGTCCAGTTGGGCCCTCTGCTGAGGTGGATGGGCAACCCCTGCCCCAAGGGTGACCTTTTTCGTTTGATCAGTAATTGTTTTTATGATCTTGTCCTCATCACCTATTTGTATACAAAAGTTGCTTAAAATTTTAAAACCAATCTAAAGAGACAAAAACTAAAGGATCGCTGCATTTATTTTATTGGGCAGCTGTTCCCTCAAGCTTCGGCCCTGGGTAAGTCAGTCCACTTCCGGAGTTTCTCTGCAGCCACCGGCCCTGCTGGTCTCTTTAGGGCTGACCCTCCTGTGTCAGAGGCTCAGCTTGTACGGTATTGCTGGATTTGAGCTGCACTCCAGTGTCAGCCCACCTGCCTGTCTGTGTTGTGGTGGGTCCAGGGAGCTATCTTGAGGACTTTGACTGTAGTAGGGGTGGATGGAACAAGGGTCTGTTTATTTCTAAGAGTTTGTTTTATCTGTTTGAAGGCTTTTTTATTTGATTTAAAGATTTTATTTATTTGAGAGGTAGAGTTAGACAGTGAGAGGGAAAGACAGAGATAAAGGTATTCCTTCCGTTGTTTCACTCCCCAATTTGCCACAATGGCCAGAGCTACGCCGATCTGAAGCCAGGAGCCATGAGCTTCTTCCTGGTCTCCCACGCAGGTGCAGGGGCCCAAGGGCTTGGGCCATCTTCTATTGCTTTCCCAGGCCATAGCAGAGAGCTGGATCGGAAGTGGAGCAGCTGGGACTCGAACCAGCGCCCATCTGGGATGCCAGCACTTCAGGCCAGGGTGTTAACCCGCTGCACCATAGCGCCAGCCCCGAGAAGGCTTTTTTACAATAGAGGACTTTTCCCCACTTTGTGGCTTTCTAAGTCTGGAATTTGCAGGTCTAACAAGCAAATTAGATACAACAGGATCTAAAACAAAAAGATTGAATCGTTATTAGAGTACCTAGGAAATGTGTTCTCTAAACCAGGAGCAGGTTTTCTCACAGAGAGAGGCATGTAGGCCTGGCCAGGTACGTATGAGGCCCGACCTCTCTCTGTCTTTACATGGGATAGTGGAAGAGACATCATAAGAAAGGTGTGAACCTCTTGAGGGAAGACGCCCTGTTGACTCCATTACCTAGGCGGCCTGGGAGAAGAGCTGGCTTGAACAGGAGGTTAGTACAGAACAGGCGGCACTTCTGAAAGGAAGATTGCAGTCCTGCCTGTCCTGACCCGAGGCCTTGCCCTCAATGGCAGTAGTTATCTTGGAAGCTGGCAGAGTAAAGGGCTCTTTGAGCTTGGAGCCAGTAGGATCTGTGGTTCTAACCTGGGATCCCTTCAGCCCCAAGGCAATTCCATTCACCCAGCTCTTGACAGAATTTGGTAGAGGCTGGCTTTTTTCAGGATGGCTGTTTGCCCCATCTCCTGGCTTTCCAAATTGAAGCCTGATGCCATTTGGGATGGACTGGCCTCACTGGGTCTCGTTGATGGCAGAACACTGTGTAAAGTAGCTATTAGTTGGCTTGACAGCTATCTTTACATTCCTCCTGCTAAAGCAGACCACAGAGGCATCCTCTAAGATGTCAGTTAAGGGGTTGTTGAGTTCTGTCCTTAATCTTTGGTGGCTGAGCTAGAAGTCTGTAGTCACAGGCATGTTTTGACAGTTTTTTTTTTTTTTTTGAAACAATGCAGTGCCCATGAGGAGAGCTATGTTCTTTAAGTAAGATCAAAACATGAAGATCGTTTCACTAATTTGTCTATAAATTTTGTTATTAATTTGCCAAGAACAACTTTAACTTGGACTTTAGAGGGAGCAATGAGCACTGTATTATACCTCTAACTATATTGTTTTTAGATAAATAGTATACCTTTATGGTTGCAAATACCTAACACAAGTGCAACTTGTTTGACCAGCAGACCCAAATGCAAACATGTCAATGACTTAAAAAAATTTTTTTTTAGTTTTTCTGTACCAACAAATTGAGAACAGCCTATTTATCATATTTATTTAAGTCAGGTGCACCAGAAAGGTAATTTGTGTTAATTTAGCAGTATTATATGAGTGTTTTTTTTTTTTTTTTTGACAGGCAGAGTGGACAGTGAGAGAGAGAGACAGAGAGAAAGGTCTTCCTTTGCCGTTGGTTCACCCTCCAACGGCCGCCGCGGTCGGCGCGCTGCGGCCGGCGCACCGCGCTGATCCGATGGCAGGAGCCAGGAGCCAGGTGCTTTTCCTGGTCTCCCATGGGGTGCAGGGCCCAAGCACCTGGGCCATCCTCCACTGCACTCCCTGGCCACAGCAGAGAGCTGTCCTGGAAGAGGGGCAACCGGGACAGAATCCGGCACCCCAACCGGGACTAGAACCCGGTGTGCCAGCGCCGCTAGGCGGAGGATTAGCCTAGTGAGCCGCGGCGCCGGCATTATATGAGTGTTTTTTATCCATAAGCAATCAAAACCGTTTTTAATAATTTTTATATAGACATACAATCTGCACATAAGTACCTGGCTCCTGCCATCGGATCAGCACGGTGCGCCAGCCACAGCAGCCATTGGAGGTTGAACCAACAGCAAAAAGGAAGACCTTTCTCTCTCTCTCTCTCTCTCTCTCTCACTGTCCACTCTGCCTGTCGGAAGAAAAAAAAAAGAAAAGAGGAAAAAAAAATTAATGGGGCTAGCTGTGGTGCAAAGGGTTAACGCCCTGGCCTGAAGTGCCGACATCTCATATGGGCGCTGGCTCCTGGCTTCAGATTGGCACAGCTCCAGCCATTGCGGCCAATTGGAGAGTGAACCAGCAGATGGAAGACCTCTCTCTCTAACTCTGACTTTCAAATAAAGAAATCTTAAGAGTGTTAATTTTTTTAAATCTATGATGTCAGTGACCCCCCGAGGCTCTTGACATGAGCTGCCTAGACTAAGGAAGCCTTTTGAGTCCACAACTCTCAGTATTTGGACAAGGCCAGAAGCAAAGTGGAAGTTCTCTCCTCCCTTTAGAGAAAAGTACATCCTCTTTTGATGGCTGCTTCTTTTCACTGGGGCCTCACGGAGATCCTTCATGTAAAACATTTTTTGCCACAGTGTCTTGGCTTTCTATGCTTGACATGTAAAACAAGTCCATATTTAAACAGACTTTTAAAACTTTAAAACTTTTAAAACTCAGCTGTTTTTAAACAAGTAGAACTTAATGAGACAAAGATTATCTCAGTAGGATACAAAAAGACTATTTTCCCAAATATCTATTAACACTTATGTATTTCATCAACCTCATTGCTTTTACAGAGGATCAGATTTTAATCTTACGTCAAAAAAAAAAAAAACAGATTGATAACTTTTGTAGCTAACAAGAAAATTTTATAAGCATTTAAGACTTCCACACACCTTTTGCAGCTTACCTAAACCGTTTTATCTTTTCCATTCCAATCTTACAATCCATGTCCTTTCTTTATTATTTCACTAAGAAGCACAGTTTTGACTTGGCCAGAGACTAGTTAAAGCAGTGAAAACAGATTTTATTCAGTACCTCCTGAGGAGAGCTGAGCTCCATCACCAGTGGTGCGGAGGTGCCTGGGTGTTTTAAAGGGAGGGCTGGGGTTGGCACAGCTCAAGGGAAGAGTGAGAAGAGGTCATTCAGGGTAAATGCGGTGATCCCAGCTGTGTGTGCTAGCTGGAAGTTATGGAAGTTAGCACGCTGTCATCTTGCAGAAACTGGCATGGCGGCCCTGGCCTCATAGGAGTGGCTACTGAGCAGGGACACACTTACAGATTTGTAAGCTTTTTTGAGTGAAGTCTCTAAGAACGGAAGGTTGGGGCCTGCCTCAGATGATAGCCTGAACAGTCAGTTCTTCTGGCATTGTGGAGCTTTCTCAGGCTGGCAGGCAGGCAGGCAGGCTTGCTTATTTATCCATTTTATTTAAGAGTAACAGGGGGCGGGGGAGAGAAATAGCTCTTATCTACTGATATACTTCCCAAACGCCTACCATGGCCAGGACTGGACTGAAGCCAAAGCTGGCAGTAGGGAACCCATTCCAGGTCTCCTGCATGGGTAGCAGGAACCCAGTTGGGCCATCACTGCTGCCTCCCAGGCTCTGCATTAGCAGGAAGCTGGAGTCAGGAGCTGGAACTGAATATTGAATCTTTAGCACTCTGGCGGGGGGATTCAGTGAGTGTCATGACTGTTAGGCCACATGCTCACCACTCAAGTGAGCACTTTAATGAATAATTGCAGTCATCCCAGGGTTGTGGCCTTGTGCTGCTGGAAGCTGGAATCTGGTTGTCTCTGAGTGCGAAGGACTGAATGGAGCCACATGCCCGGAGTGCTGTTTCTAGGGGCAGCAGCTGTAACTGCGTGCTCCTCTGAGCCCTGCACTGCTCACTTACTCAGTACTCCTTGCTGTCTCCCCCATTGCCGTTCAGGACTTGGCAAGGATGGGAGGGGTGTTGATGTGCAGACATCAGGGCTCCCTCTATGGCTGTTTCAGAATTTCTCCCCCTAATCCTCACTGGCACCGACAGCTCTGATTCCCCGAGCCACAGTGTGACTTTGTGTTGCGTTGTTGCCACTCTGTACAACTGGGAGGTGTTCTGGGATAGTGCCCAGTGAAGTTCCTTCTTTCGAGGGTCAGCTCTCCAGTGTCTGTTGCTTTTGCTAGCTCTTCATTTATTTTGTGTTTTTTCAGGGTTCATAATTGTGCTGTGTGTGTAACTTATACACTATTTTGCCCTTGCCAGAATGACTGCTATTCATTTTCCAGTTATTTATTATCAGAATAGTCAAACATTCAGAAAAATAATACGATTACTAAGGTGAACTCTTCTATTCCTGCCACTGGTAACTTAGACTCCATATCTCTGGGTGTTTCTGCTTCCATACCTTTTCAGTAGACAGAGTTAGGAAAAACCTCTGAAAAATCATGAGTTCTGGCCGGTGCCATGGTTCACTTAGCTAATCCTCCGCCTGTGGCGCCGGCACCCCAGGTTCTAGTCCCAGTTGGGGCGCTGGATTCTGTCCCGGTTGCTCCTCTTCCAGTCTAGCTCTCTGCTGTGGCCCGGGAAGGCAGTGGAGGATGGCCTATGTCCTTGGGCCCTGCACCTGCATGGGAGACCAGGAGGAAGCACCTGGCTCCTGGCTTCAGATTGGTGCAGCATGCTGGCTGTAGCGGCCATTTGGGGGGTGAGCCAACAGAAGGAAGACCTTTCTCTATCACTAACTCTGCCTGTCAAAAGAAAAAAATCGTGAGTTCTTTTTTAAAATTTAATTTTATTTATTTGAAAGAGTTACAGAGAGAGGTAGAGACAGAAAGAGAGATCTTCCATCTGCTGGTTCATTCCCCAGATGGCTGCAACGGCCGGAGCTGTGCCAATCCGAAGCCAGGAGCTTCCTCCAGGTCTCCCACGTGGGTGCAGGGGCCCAAGGACTTGGGCCATCTTCTACTGCTACCTCTCTCTGTAACTCTTTCAAATAAATAAAATTAAATTAAAAAAAAAAAACTCACGATTTTTTTTTTTTTTGACAGGCCACAGCAGAGAGCTGGATCGGAAGTGGAGCAGCCGGGACTCGAACCGGCACCCATATGGAATGCTGGCGCTTCAGGCCAGGGCTTTAACCCACTGCACCACAGCATCGGCCCCAAATCATGAGTTCTTAGTGATGTTGTCAATCAAACTTAATTTTGGGGGGCTGGTGCTGTGGAATAATAGGCTAAGCCTTTGCCTGTGGTGCCGGCATCCCTTATGGGCGCCAGTTCATGTCTTAGCTACTCCTCTTCTATCCAGCTCTATTGTATGGCCTGGAAAAGCAGTAAAACATGGCCCAAGTATTTGGGCCCCTGCACCTGCATGGGAGTCCCAGAAGGAGCTCCTGGCTCCTGGTCTTGGATCTGCCCAGCTCTGGCCATTGTGGGCATTTTGGAAGCGAACTAGCGGATGAAAGACCTTTTTCTCTGTCTCTCCCTCTCTCTGTAACTCTACCTCTCAAACAAATAAAATCTTTTAAAAAATTTAATTTTCCATTTTATAATTCTTTCCCCTAACAATAAAAATCTTGGTTTCTAATAACAATAGTAGATAAGACCCATTCAGAGAAGTCTAAGTTTCATCCTTATTCTTTCCACTCCATTCTTTTCTCCTGTAGGAGGTAATCTGTATTTGTTTTGGTTCATCTGCTGTCATTTAAAAAAATATGAGCAGGCTGTATATATATTCATACTTATTTTTCTTACACAAAAAGAATACTAAAAATGTTCTGAACCTTTTGTATATATGGATGTTTTAATAGGTATTTTAATAAGAAGAATATGTTTAATATTTATATTTTTAAGCTACAGGAGACCAAATAGAACTGATTGCTTTTTGAGTTGTACTACATAATTGAGAATTGCATATTATTGATTACATGTTTTAAATTTTATCTTTGGCTCTTTGGTATGACCATTTAAGAGAAAGGTAGTTGTCAAAAATGATAGATCACTTAAATTAGAAAGTTACATGGTTCTAAGGTTTATTTGGTTTTAAAATAAATCATGCATTATTTTATAATCTTCTAAAAATTCTGCAGGTTGAAGATCCAGATTGCTTCTGGGTTATTATAAAAGGATGTAGTCCCTTTTTGGATCATGAAGTCGACTATCAAAAACTAAATAGCGCCATGAATGACTTCTATAACAGCATGTGTAAAGATACAGAAATAAAACCATTAATGTTGGAAGAAGGACAGGTATGTATCTGAATGCACTTTATTTATTGTATCTTTATTATTATTTAATGATTTATTTAGTTGAAAGGCAAAGTTAGAGGGACAGATAGATCTTCCATCCTCTAGGTCAATCCCCAAATGGCCTTAATGACCAGGACTGGGCCAGGCCGAAGCCAGGAGTCAGGAGTTCCATCAGGATCTCCCACGTGGGTGCAGGGACCCAAGGACTCAGACCATCTTCCTTTGCTTTCGCAGGCTCATTAGCAGGGAACCAGACTGGAAGTGGAGCAGCCGGAACTGGAACCAGCACCAGCCTTTAATTATCCTATCTTGAAACACTAATCAGGATGTAGGGGTGGGTGTTTGGCCAGGTAGTTGAAACACCACCATGTTAGAGTGTTTGCATTCGGTTCCTGATTCTAGCTTCCTGCTAATACACAGACCCTGGGAAGCACCAGATGATAGATAGCTCCAGTAATTAGGTCCCTGTTACCCACCTGAGAGACCTGGATTGAGTTCCTAGCTCATAGCCTTCACCCTCTCCCCCCCGGCTGTTGTGGGCCTTGGGGAGTGAATCATTGGGTGGGAGTGCTCTGTCTACCAGATAATTGTTAAAAATATTTCAGGAGCTTAGAATGATGAATGTGATTAGAGTATTTTAACGTTCATGGTTGTTGCCTTGTGTTAGGTTTTTGGGTTGCATGAGACTCAGGCTGATGGTGGCAGGGGGTGGTGCTTGTGTAGGTCCAAGTGGGGCCTTGGGATAGATGCCATCCAGATCCAGGTGTTAGGGCCGTCTTCCTGGCGGTGGGAGCCAGGGCAGGTATACGGACCTTGGCAAAGAGGACCTGGGGTTTTCGGTTCTGGGCCAGTGCCTCCCTCTTTGGTTGCTCATGGCTTTGACCGACTTGGGATTGTTTCTGCTCTGTGCTCCACATCAGGGCTTCTTTGCTTTCGTGCAGCCTCAGCCACCATTGCTGTGGTCTGATTTTCTCTTGGGTCAGCCATGTTCCAAGTGTGAACTTCGGTAATAGCATGGAGGGGAAGGACATGAACACTCGTTAGGAGGGAGACAAGACCTCATCTGAATTCCTTCCCTCGTGCCCACAAATGTCCTTAGTGACCAATTTGTTATTTTTCCATAGCAGTGACTTACTGGAGGGATGGAACGGGGTCAGTGGTCCTTTAAGTGCAGTCTTGTTTGGGAAAGCATGATGGCCTCCTCACAGTGAGCATTTACCCAGGAGGTGAGCGCTTTCTCCCTGTCCTTTTGTGGAGAGGTGGTTAAACAGGACACTGTGAATAGATTCGGGGTCACTTGTTTTGAAGAACAGGTGTGCTGTTACCTTCACGTGGGTTTAACATGGGAGAGAGCGCCACTTGCAAGCCATGCTAGGATGACCCCTCCTTCGTGGCACTGCTGTGAGTGTTTCACTTCATGCTCTCTCCATTCAGTGGCTGTCACTGCCCGAATCCACTTTCATTTGTTTTCTTTTTTTTAAAGAGTGATTTATTTATTTGAAAGTCAGAGTTACGCAGAGAGGAGAGGCAGAGAGAGAGAGAGGAGGTCTTCTACTCCCTGGTACACTGCCCAGTTGGCCGCGACAACCAGAGCTGTGCCGATCCGAAGCCAGGAACCAGGAGCTTCCTCCTGGTCTCCCACGCCAGGTGCAGGGGTCCAGGGACTTGGCCGATCTTCTACGGTGTTCCCAGGCCATAGCAGAGAGCTGGATTGGAAGTGGAGCAGCCAGGGCTCGAACCGGCACCAATATAGGATGCCCGCACTGCAGGTAGTGGTTTTACTATGCCAAAGCATGGGCCCCTCATTTGTTTTCTTTTCTTTTTCTTTTTTTTTTTTTTATTTTTTGACAGGCAGAGTGGATAGTGTGAGAGAGAGAGACAGAGAGAAAGGTCTTCCTTGCCGTTGGTTCACCCTCCAGTGGCCGCTGCTCCCACTGCGCTGTGGCTGGCGCATCGCACTGATCCGAAGCCAGGAGCCAGGTGCTTCTCCTGGTCTCCCATGGGGTGCAGGGCCCAAGCACTTGGGCCATCCTCCACTGCCTTCCCGGGCCATAGCAGAGAGCTGGCCTGGAAGAGGGGCAATCGGGACAGACTCCGGCGCCCTGACCGGGACTAGAACCCGGTGTGCTGGTGCTGCAAGGCGGAGGATTAGCCTAGTGAGCCGCGGCGCCAGCCCATTAGTTGTCAATATGGTGATTTCTCCCACTCCTTCTGTATTGGTGAGCTGGAATTCTTCCCGTTTAGCACTTTCCTTTCAGCTGATCCCTGTTTCCTGGGGGGCCTTTTCCTGGGAGACAGTGCTCAGTTTGGGCAGCCTCCTACACCTGTGTCATCTCCTGTAAGTTGGGTACAGGCTGAGACGATGTGGAGAGGAGCCTTTAGGGCTGTCATCACGTGACTAGAGGTTTTACTGCTGAACGTAATAAAGCCTGCCTTCTGTTTTGCAGGTCTGTGTGGTGTATTGTCCGGAGCTACGGTGCTGGTGCAGGGCCGTCATTAAGTCAGTCATGTCTTCAGCAGACCATTACCTGGCAGAGTGTTTCCTTGTAGACTTCGCCAGGTACATTCCAGTAAAATCTAAAAAGTACGTATGTGTGGTTTTATGTCTGTTTGCCTTACTCTCTTTAAGGAGATAATGATGAATTTTAAAGGAGAATGTCAGTTTTTAAAGTAAGGGGATTACCTTTTGTGAAAAGAAGACATTGAGCATTTTTGTGCCTTAAGAAATGAAAACTTGGGCCAGGCATTTGGCGCGGTGATGAAGTCACGACTTGGATGCCTGTGCATCACATCAGAGTGCCTGCACTTAAATCTCAGCTCCACTCTCCACTCTGGTTTTCTGCCAGTGCACCCCCGGGAGGCAGCACATGAGGGCTCAAGTTGACCCCTGCCACCCACACGGGAGACTGAGTTCTGGACTCCTGGTGTCAGCCTGGCTGTTGCCGCATTTGAGAAATGAATCAACCAGTGGACAGGCATCTGTGTTTGTCTCTCTGTCTCTGACTTTCAGATAAATGATGAAGGAAGACTGCAGGTTTCCATTCTGCGTCCATGACTAGAGGAGCAAATGGTCCTAATGAGGACAGAGAGAGTGACTGTGGCCTTTCTCCACTTGCCTGCCTAGGGTGGGGCAGGGCAGGTTCAGGCTGTTCCCTTCTCGTCTCCTGGGTGCCCTGTGCCAGCTGCTCTCTGGCCTGTCCTCTTAGTTTGCACGTGGGATGGGGTGGGTCCTTCAGTGCGGTTTGCCTCACCACCAGGAGGTAGAGAGAAACTCTCCGTGTCTCCACAGGAGGAGGAAATTGATGGCCACCCTCAGGTTGCAGAGAGCAGATTATATACTCAAGTGCGTATTCCTGGTTGTTCTGCGTCACAGAGTAAAGGTGTGGCTATCACGTAGGGTGCGGAGACAGTTCAGGCTCGTCCTGACAGTAACCTTCATTGACTGTGGGACTGCATGTCACAGCTCACTAGAAAACATTAGCACATCACTGTGTTCCTAAAGTTGTATTGATAAAATGCATGAAGTTTTAATAAATGGTTTCTGGGTGGGGAGGGGGGAGGGAACATGCCAGCACACGAGGCTGGTGCTGTGGTATAGTAGGTTAAGTCTCTGCCTGCCGTGCCAGCATCCTATATGGGCACCCGTTCAGATCCCAGCTGCTCCACTTTGAATCCAGCTCCCTACTCATGGCCTTGGAGAACAGCAGAAGATGACCCAAGTGCTTGGGCCCTTGCACCCACGTGGGAGACCCAAAGAAGCCCCTGGCTTCGGATTGGCCCAGCTCTGGCCATTGTAGCTATTTGGGGAGTGAGCCAGAGAATGGAAGACCAACCTCTCTGTCTTTCCCTCTCTCTGTCTATAACTTTACCTCTCAAATAAATAAATGTTAAGAAAAAGCTAGCACAAGTCACTGTTGGTGTTTAGTGATAATTGTCCCATGGTTTGTCCCAGAGTAAGAGGATGTCCATTTAATAGGCAAACACAAGGACTCTTATTCCAGTGCAAAAAGAGCAGAGCCAGCTAGCCTTCGGTGCAGTAAGAGGTGTCTCTCACGTAGAGGAGTTTCGTGGCAGAAGGGCTCATCAGACATGGAGGATTTGCAGATACTCAAGGGAAAAGTAGGTGCCTCCCCAGCTTGGGATTCTGCACCTCTGTGACCATAATTGTTATAAAAGTACTTGGGGTCAGCGCTGTGGCATAGCAGTACAGTCACCAACTGCAGTGCCGGCATCCCATATAGGTGCCGGTTAAAAAGCCCAGGCTGCTTCACTTCTGACCCAGCTCTCTGCTATGGCCTGGGAAAGCCAAGTCCTTGGGCCCCTGCACCCGTGTGCAGGAGGACCTGGAAGAAGTTCCTGGCTTCTGGCTTTAGATCCACACAGCTCCAGCCAGTGTGACCAATTGGAGAGTGAACCTGTGGATGGAAGACCCCTCCCTCCCTCCCTCCCTCCCTCTTTCTCTCTCCCCCTCTCCCCCCCCCTCCCCCTCTCCCTCCCCCTCTCCCTCTGTGCAACTCTTTCAAATAAATCATTTTTTTAAAGTACTTACTGTGTTTAGCCATCTGGGGAGCTTTTCCTTTTGTATTTGGTGTTTTGAGTTTATTTTTGGCAAGAAAATCAAATGATTAAGTAGAGCTCTAACCTGTCTAAGACAAAGGGTAGGGCTTCAGGGAAGAGAGCTGCTTGATGGTGAGGAAATATGTTGACATGTCTGTTGCTTGCCTTACTTGTCACCTCGCCGTCCATCAGCTGTTTTGTGCAAAGTTGGCAAATACTAATTATTAAAACATCTGTTCATAGACAGCAATGTTGGAGTAATTCTGGTCACGTAGTAAGTGGAATTTATTTCACAGGCTTATTCATTGTTATTCAGTGTTTCCTTTTATTTTTCACTTTTTATGTATTTGAAAGGCAGAGAGACGAGAGAGAGGAGACAGAGACAGAGACGAGAAGCGTGCGCGCACGAGAAAGCGCGTGCCTTCTTGTTTCACTTCTAAAATACCTACAACAGCCCTGGGTAGGCCATGCTGGAGCCAGGAACTGGAAACTCAATGTGGTCTCTCCTGTGGGTGGCAGAGACCCAGCCACCTGCTGCCTCCCAGGGCCTGCACCAGCAGGAGGCTGATTGGGTGTGGAACAAGAACTGGAGCCCGGGTGTTCTGACACGAGGTCAGGGCATCCCAAGCAGCATCCCAGCAGGTAGGCCGCATGCCTGCCCCTGTGCAGTATTTCTGTTCCTTCTTTCCCTCCCTTCCTCTCTTCCTCCCTCCTTCCCTCCTTCCTTCTGATTTGTGGTATGAAAGGCAGAGTGACAGAAAAGGAGAGAAAGAAAGAGAAGTGTATCTTTCATCCTTTGGTTTACTCCTGCAAATACCCACCACAGCCAAGCCGAAACCAGGAACCCAGAACTCTATCTGAGTTTCCCATGTGGGCACAGGGACCCAAGTACTTGAATTGTCTTCACTGATGTCCCAGGCGCATTAGCAAGGAGCTGGATCGGCAGTGGATCTGGGCCCAAGCTGGCACTCGCATGGACACTGGCGCCGTGGGTGGCGCCTTCACCTGCACCACAGTGCCAGCTGCACAGTGTGTCTTAACCTGAGGAGCCTCACCAGATACACTCTCCCTGAATTCCTGCCCCTGTGCCATGAAATTTTGATGCCACAGATACACTGAATCACTATGTAGGATCTCTCTGCTTTTACAGAAAGATTTTTTTCCACCCTCCAAGAAGCAGTTTTGTCCCCTTGGCCAGATGTCTCCAAGCATCTGTTGGAGGCTGTGTTAGAATCAGAAAGGGATGTCCTTTACTTTGTTTTACGGCAAGCATGTTACTGACCTAGGTGAACTATAAAGGAGTCTGTTCTGTGTTGTGTGTTTTATAATGGAACTCTCTCTGCTTCATTTGTCAGCATCCGAGTTGCAGTGGAATCATTTATGCAGCTTCCCTACAGAGCAAAAAGTTCCGGTTGTACTGCATGAAGCCTGTTACATTGCACATTGACTTCTGTGAAGACAGCGCCGAGATTGTGTAAGTACAGGTTCTGAAGTCACAGGAATCATGAGTAAACGCCTTCAGTTCATGTCTGCATTTATGTGCCATCAGTTACCCGCGAGCAGGTTTTGAAGGTCTGGGTTCTGCAGGAGGCAGCCTCTGAGTTGGTGCTGGTCAAACTGGCTGTGAGTAGAATTCTCAGGCACCCCCTCCCGGGCCTGAGCTCTGTGCCTTTTGACTTAAAAAAACAACTTATAAAAAGTAGTAGAGTAATTCTAAAGAAAAGCTTTCTTGAAATAAAACTGCTGGAGCATTAAAAAAAAGTTGACCACATGCCTGCCTCTGTCCCACGTCTTTCCTCCTGGAGGCCTCTGTGGGCTGTGACCTTCCCACCCTCCATTGGTGCACTTACATACCCATGTGATCGTGGGTCCTGCCCTCTGTCAGTGCACTTACACACCCCTGTGCGCCTGGATCTCGCCCTCTGTCAGTGCACTTACACACCCCTGTGCGCCTGGATCCTGCCCTCTGTTAGTGCACTTACACCCCCTTGAGCCTGGATCCCGCCCTCTGTCGGTGCACTTACACACCCCTGTGAGCCTGGATCCGCCCTCTGTCTGCACTTACACCCCCTTGAGCCTGGATCCTACCCTCTGTCCATGAGGTTAGACACCTCTCTGGGCATGGACTTTCTTAGGAAGAGAACAGGCTGTCTTGTTTGCAGAATTAGCTTAGGAGTAGCTGTGGAGGTTCTTTGCCAATCCATATCCCTCTCCTAACCACTTTGAGTCTTTTTCATGGGTGACTATGACTGATGTGGTTATTGGATTTAACCAGTTTCTTCTTGACAGCCAGCTAGATTTTCAAGCCATTTTGTGCTGTGTGTTCCCATAAGAATGTGGGTATATCCACGTAACTTACATCCCTGTCACGGCTCCTTCTTCCTGGTGTGTGGTTACTGTGTGATGGTTCCCTAGAGTGGGCCCCTGCACCAGGCTGTATTCTGCACGGTGTGCCTGTGATCTCTGCTCTTTAAGGAGCACTACTGAGGGCTGGATTTCTGTTTCTGTAGTCTGTGGGGCAGCCACTCTCACCTGGAGCTCCTCTGTCTCTCACTTCCCAGACTGTGGTGTTAACAGAAGAAAGGCTGTATAGGGAGCAGCCCAGTCCTGTCTCTATTTGCATAAGCTGGTACTGGTGCACTGTGCGCCCTGAACTCGGAAGTTACCTCTGCTCTGTGGCCCCTTTGGAGACCTCGTGCTCCACGCCCCACCATGCCCATCACCACAGTTCCCTTGGGAGGTGAGTGCATCACTCTTGGGACCAGCCTCAGAGTAGTATGCTCCAGTAAGCCAGCTTGTCTCTGCTTGGGTCCGTGTGTCCTGCTCGGCTGCTCTCTGGCATCCTGCTCCGTGCTTGTGCACTTCTGCTCTGCAGTGAGGAGACCCGCTGAGCAGCCCCTGTGCTGTTCCTCTCGCAGAGCAGCCAGCTGCAGGCCATCCAGGTGTGGTTTGGGCAGCAGCTTGTGCTCCCCAGCTACCCCTTGGGCAACCCGTTTCCTGTCCTTCTCACCCCCTTCCTACTGACCCCCTTTCCAGGACTACTGGGGTCTTTTCCACCCTCAGGATACCCCTGGGGTAGGTGGAGGACTTAAGAGTAAGTTCGTTTTTTTTTTTTAATTTGCCAAGGATTTTTCTTGAAGAGTTGAAAAGAAAGGGGGAGAGATCTTCCATTTGCTGGTTTCCTCCTTAGATGGCTGTGATGGTTGAGACTGAGCCAGGCTGAAGCCCGGAGCCTGGACCTCCATCTAGTTTCCCAAACGGGTGGCAGGGCCCAAGGATTTGGTCCATCTTCCACTGCTTTCCCAGGAGCATTAACTGGATTGGAAGTGGAGCAGCCAGGACTTAAACGGGCACCCATTTGGGATGCTGGCGTTGCAGGCAGCAGCTTAACCAGCCACGCCATGGTGCCGGCCCCAAGAGGAACTTTTCTTACTGGGTTTTCATCGTCATCTTTGGCAGGTGATGCCTTTGCACTCACATGTTATTAAGAATAGTTTTCTTAATGTGTATTACAGTTTTTGACAGATTTGTCAGATTTCCCTCCAGAAAGATTATAGCAATTTATACTATCATTATTGGGGTTTCTTTTCCTATACAACCTCATTAATAGGCTTTTTTTTAAAAAAAAGATTTTATTTATCTACTTGAAGGAGTTACACAGAGGAGAGGCAGAGAGAAAGAGGTCTTCCATCCGCTGGTTCACTCCCCAGTTGGCTGCAATGGCCAGAGCTGTGCCGATCCGAAGCCAGGAGCCAGGAACTTCCCCAGGTCTTCCCACATGGGTGCAGGGGCCCAAGGACTTGGGCCATCTTCTACTGCTTTCCCAGACCATAGCAGAGAGCTGGATCAGAAGAGGAGCAGCCGGGACTTGAACTGACACACATATGTGATGCCAGCACTGCAGGCAGTGGCTTTACCTGCTGCACCACAGCACCGGCCCTGTTACTAGGCTTTTTAATTTCTGCTTGTTTGCTGGGTGAACATGATCTCTTGTTTTAACTTGCATTTTTTCACTTGCAAAGTTGGGTATCTCTTTAGTGTTTATTGTGTGTGTGTGGAGAGAGACTGATTTACCTGTTATTTTAGATTGATATTTCTCTTCAGTTATTTGACTTTATCTTATTAGAAATCTAATATTTGTTAAAAAAGAAAAGCTCATTAAGTATTTTTTATGTGAATAGTTTTAGAACTGCTATATTGTACTTTATCCTTGTAATTTTTTTATTTGAAAGTCAGAGTTAGCGAGAGAGAGAGAAATATCTTCTATCTACTGGCTTACTCCCCAGATGGCCACAATGGCTGGTTCTGGGCCAGGTGGAATCTGGGAGCTCCATCTGGGTCTCCCATGGTGGTAGCAGTGGCCCAAGCACTTGGGCTACATTCTGCTGCTTTTCCTAGGCCATCAGCAGGGAGCTGGATTGGAAGTAGAGCAGCCTGGAAATGAACCGGTGCCCATAATGGGATGGTGGCTTCACAGACAGACGGTGGCTCCACCTGGTACCCCGTAACACCTGCCCCCTGTAATTATCTAGATGTAGTGTAGATACTACCTTTCTTAGTAAAAATAAAAATAACTACTACTTTTGAACATTGATTATGTCCAGGCTGTGGGGTAAATGTTCTCTATATACTTCCTCATTTGATTTTTTTTTTTTTTTTTTTTTTTTTTGGTAAGAGTTAGAAGTAGATAGTCAGCGAGAGAGCAACTCCATTCCTTCCATTAGTTCACTCGCCAAAAATCCGCAGTGGCCAGAGCTGAGCTGATCCAAAGCCAGGAGCCAAGAGTTTCTTCCAGGTCTTCCACGCAGGTGCAGAGACCCAAGGACTTGGGCCATCCTCTACTGCTTTCCCAGGCCATAGCATAGAACTGGATCAGAAGAGGAGCAGCCAGGACACGAACCAGTGCCCATATGGGATGCCAGCACTGCAGGCTGGGGCTTTAACCCACTGCACAACAGCACGCCCCCCCCCCATTTGATCTTTAAAACAACTCTTGGAAGGAATGGATCTTGTGATACAGCCGATTAAGCCACTGCTTGGGGCACCTTTGGTTCCATACTAGAGCACCTGATGTAAGTCCTGGCTGCCCACTTCCAGGACAGCTTCCTGCTAGTGCCCTAGGAGACAGCAAATGGTGGATCGAATCCTGAATACCTGCCACCTGTGAGGGAGACCTGAGTGGAGTTCCGGGCTCCTGGTTTCGGCATGGTCCAGGCCCAGTTGTTGAAGACATTTGGAGAGTGAACCAGTAGATAGAAGATTTCTCTCTCTCTCTTGCCCTCTCTGATGCTCTGCCTTTCAAATAAATAAAAATGAATAAACATTTAAAAAACTAAAATAACTCTTGAAGTATGGTGGTAGCATATGTGATAGATCCAAACAAGAGAAATGTAAAATATTTTATTCTGATCTTGACTTTTTATTTTATTTTTATTCCTTCTAAATACTGGTTTCTCCTGATTTTCTACTGCCTATACCTTGTCCTATGATTTTCTTTCCAAAGCATAGGCGAGATGTAGAAAGGTTAAGTTGATAGAGATCAAATGGGAGGTGGCGAATGGGTGCTCTAGTGGGCAGAGTGAGGACCATAGCAGCCGCTTCCCCACAGCTGCCCCTACACTGTTGGCTTAGCCGACATGTACTGATCCCTCTCTGTGCCAGCCTGTGGAGACGCAGTGATCTCAGAATCGCTGCCCCAGGGAGCTTGTGTTTTGATTTGTCACAGGTAACTGATGTTGCAGCAGACAGTGCCAGGTGGTGAGCACAGGTCACCTCACTGGGGCCCTGGGATGTGAGTTTGTGTTGGTGCAAGCAGCAGTGTGGAGAGAGGTGTGTCACAGGAAGTAGCTGGGGTCTTTATCCCCACCCGGAGCAGGGCCAGAGCTATGCTCTCTGTTGTGTGCATCGTGTGCTTGATTGGTCATGCAGAAAGAGCCCTGTGTGTGGTTTACAAAGCAAGATAGTGTACTAACTAAAGTGTCCTTGGCCCTCACCGGAGTGTTGCAGTGTTCCCACTGGTTTCCTTTTTCTGGTCCAGGGTCTGAGCCAGGCCTCCAGCTTGCCTCCAGTGTCCTGTCTGGTTAGTCTCCCAGAGTCTGGGACAGTTCTTCAGTCTTCCTTCATGGCCTGGACGCTTCTGAAGAGTCCTGGTCAGTTATGCTGCAGAGGAACGTTCAGTTTGACTTGGCCTGATGTTCTCATGATCAGACTGAGGTTGTGCGTGTTGGCAGAGAGAGAGAGGTCTGCCATCCACTGGTTCACTCCCCAACTGGCTGCGACGGCTGGAGCTACGCCGATCCAAAGCCAGGAGCCAGGAGCTTCCTCTGGGTTTCACACACAGGTGCAGGAGCCCAGGGACTTGGGCCATTTTCTGCTTTCCCAGGCCATAGCAGAGAGCTGGATCGGAAGTGGGGCAGCTGGGACTAGAACTGGCACCTGTATGCCATGCCAGCACTGCAGGCAGCAGCTTTACCTGCAACACCACAGCGCCAGGCCCTATCAGGCATTCTGAATTTGCTACGGTGAGGTTCACTTTTTCCATCATTCCTTCTACAGTTTTAAAACTTTAATTATCTTTTTTAAAAAGATTTATTTATCTATTTGAAAGTCAGAGAGAGAAGGAGAGACAGAGAGAGAGAGAAGTCTTTCATCTACTGGTCCACTGCCCAACCAGCTGCAATGGCCAGAGCTGAGTTGACCTGAAGCCAGGAGCCAGGAACCTTCCCTGGGCCTCCCACATGGGCACAGGGGCCCAAGGACCCGGGCCATCCTCCAGTGCCTTCCCAGGTCATAGCATAGAGCTGGATTGGAAGTGGAGCAGCCAAGATCCGAACTAGCACCCACATGGGATGCGGGATGCTGGCACCACAGGCCTAGGCCCTAACCCGTTGAACCACAGCACTAGTCCTTTATTTATCTTTTTTTAAAAAGGTTTTATTGGCCAGCCCTGTGGCTCACTAGGCTAATCCTCTGCCTGCAGCGGCGGCACCCTGGGTTCTAGTCCCAGTCAGGGCGCCGGATTCTGTCCCAGTTGCTCCTCTTCCAGACCAGCTCTCTGCTGTGGCCTGGGAGTGCAGTGCAGGATGGCCCAGGTGCTTGGCCCCTGCACCTGCATGGCAGAACAGGAGGAGGCACCTGGCTCCTGGCTTCGGATTGGAACAGTGCGCCGGCTGCAACGTGCTGGCCCTGGCAGCCCCTTGGGGGGTGAACCAACGGAAAAAGGAAGACCTTTCTCTCTCTCTCTCTCTCTCTCTCTCTCTCTCTCTCTCTCCTACTCTGCTTGTCAAAAAAAATAAAATAAAATAAAAATATTTTATTTATTTTTAACTTTTATTTAATGAATATAAATTTCCAAAGTACAGCTTATGGATTACAATGGCTTCCCCCCATAATGTCCCTCCCACCCAGCAGCCCTCCCCTTTCCCACTCCCTCTCCCCTTCCATTCACATCAAGATTCATTTTCGATCCTCTTTATGTACAGAAGATCAGTTTAGCATACATTAAGTAAAGATTTCAACAGTTTGCTCCCACACAGAAACATAAAGTAAAAAATAATAGATGATTTTTTAAATGATGATGAAATCAGATCAGACCTATTGTCATGTTTCATCCCAGTGAGAGTCAAGTTGGGAATTGATAATTTCTTTTTTTTTTTTTTTACAGAAGATCAGTTTAGTATACATTAAGTAAAGATTTCAACAGTTTGCACCCCCATAGAAACACAAAGTGAAATATACTGTGTGAGTACTCGTTATAGCATTAAATCTCACTGTACAGCACATTAAGGACAGAGATCCTACATGAGGAGTAAGTGCACAGTGACTCCTGTTGTTGACTTTACAAATTGACACTCCTGTTTATGGCATCAGTAATCTCCCTATGCTCCAGTCATGAGTTTCCAAGGCTATGGAAGCCTTTTGAGTTCTCCAACTCCTATCTTGTTTAGACAAGGTCATAGTCAAAGTGGAGGTTCTCTCCTCCCTTCAGAGAAAGGTACCTCCTTCTTTGAAGACCTGTTCTTTCCACTGGGATCTCACTCACAGAGATCTTTCATTTAGGGTTTTTGTTTTTGTTTTTTTTTTTTGCCAGAGTGTCTTGGCTTTCCATGCCTGAAATACTCTCGTGGGCTTTTCAGCCAGATCCGAATGCCTTTAGGGCTGATTCTGAGGCCAGAGTGCTGTTTAGGACATCTGCCATTCTATGAGTCTGCTGAGTATCTCGCTTCCCATGTTGGATCACTCTCCCCTTTATTTATTCTATCGGTTAGTATTAGCAGGTACTAGACTTGTTATGTGATCCCTTTGACTCTTAGTCCTTTCATTATGATCAATTGTGAACTGAAATTGATCACTTGGACTAGTGAGATGGCATTGGTATATGCCACCTTGATGGGATTGAATTGGAATCCCCTGGTATGTTTCTAATTCTACCATTAGGGGCAAGTCAGCTTGAGCATGTCCCAAATTGTACATCTCTTCCCTCTCTTATTCCCACTCTTATGTTTAACAGGGATCACATTTCAGTTAAATTTCAACACTTAAGAATAACTGTGTATTAATTACAGAATTAAACCAGTCATATTAAGTAGAACAGACAAAAAAAATACTAAGAGGGATAATGTATTAAGTTGTTCATTAACAGTCGGGGCTATGCTGATCAAGTCACCATTTCTCATAGTGTTCATTTCACTTCAACAGGTTTCCTTTTTGGTGTTCAGTCAGTTGTCACCGATCAGGGAGAACATATGATATTTGTCCCTTTGGGACTGGCTTATTTCACTCAGCATGATGTGTTCCAGATTCCTCCATTTTGTTGCAAATGACTGGATTTCATTGTTTCTTACTGCGGTATAGTATTCTAAAGAGTACATATCCCATAATTTCTTTATCCAGTCTACCGTTGATGGGCATTTAGGTTGGTTCCAGGTCTTGGCTATTGTGAATTGTGCTGCAATAAACATTAGGGTGCAGACTGCTTTTGTGTTTGCCAATTTAAATTCCTCTGGGTAAATTCCAAGGAGTGGGATGGCTGGGTCGAACAGTAGGGTTATCTTCAGGTTTCTGAGGAATCTCCAGACTGACTTCCATAGTGGCTTGACCAGTTTGCATTCCCACCAACAGTGGGTTAGTGTCCCTTTTTCCCCACATCCTCGCCAGCATCTGTTGTTGGTAGATTTCTGTATGTGAGCCATTCTAACCGGGGTGAGGTGAAACCTCATTGTGGTTTTGATTTGCATTTCCCTGATTGCTAGTGATCTTGAACATTTTTTCATGTGCCTGTTGGCCATTTGGATTTCCTCTTTTGAAAAATGTCTATTGAGGTCCTTGGCCCATCTCTTAAGTGGGTTGTTGGTTTTGTTGTTGTGGAGTTTCTTGATCTCTTTGTAGATTCTGGTTATTAACCTTTATCTGTTGCATAGTTTGCAAATATTTTATCCCATTCTGTCGGTTGTCTCTTCACTCTCCTGACTGTTTCTTTTGCAGTACAGAAACTTCTCAATTTGATGCAATCCCAGTAGTTGATTTTGGCTTTGACTGCCTGTGCCTCCCGGGTCTTTTCCAGAAACATCTTTG